ATATAGTACATACTATAAAACACTATACATATTATTTATTACCTATAGTATCTATTACCATGCCATTTACCTATAATTAGTATTCATGAATCATGACTATTACTTATTAGGATACATTTAGTACCTATACCTACTTAGTACATTATTAGTAGTTATTTATATTTAATAGGAACTTATTCTATAAGCTTGTAGTGTAGCCGTGCAGGTCATGGGCGTAGGTAAGGGGGTTTTGGGTGTTCAAACACCCCCCGAAATTAAATAAAACAATCTTGAGCTTTTTGTGAATTTGTTCGAGAATATTATTAACTCGCATATTATTTAGGATTTAGACAAAAACCCCCTCCGAAAATATTTCCTACCTACGACCATGGTGCAGGCAAATACTAAATACCAATTACTGACTATCCGTTCCTAATTTTATTTAAGCTATTGTAATAAATTACATAATATTTGTACATATATTACGTTTGAACTTCTAAATTTTCACTAAGTTTAATGTTGGATTATTTTTTAAATTTATCATTTGCGTTAAATGAATCCACTTTAATCATATCGATTATAATATGTTAGCCATTATGACATATAGGTAGGACTAGAGACTACTATAATGTAGTTAATACCATTGCTAAAGGTATTTTTTTTTTATGTAAAACTCATATAGTTTATTTATAAAAAAAAGTACAATAAGCATAACGGATGTTTTTTCAGCGACGATATAGGCTATTGGGAAACAGTATAGTACTGAGTAGACTTAATTCTAATGATTGAGAAATATGTATAATATATATAACATAATTTTGGCTAGATTATAATTATTAAGAACGAAATAGTATGTTACAAATGTGTGATATAAGTATTTTATTTGCAGTAACTCGGTATTTTAGGATAAAAATATAACCCAATATTTACATTTTTGTTAAAGAAAGCGTTTGGCTTAAAATATACTTATAATGTAACACTTCATTTTTTAGTACGATAGCAAAACCATTCGATGGACGTATGACTTATGGTAGAGCATTTTTTTTAATCATATGTATTTGGACTTATACTTTACCATGGGGCCTTTTACCTTTAACTGAAAAGTGGAATCGTTATGTACCAGGTTAGTCATTAATACTTAATATAATATGTTCATATATATTTTATAAGATTTGTGTTGTTTTAAAAACATTTACGTTGGTGGTAGGTAACTAAAGTTAAAAAAAGTAATAAGAAAAATTGGATAATTTAAGATAAAAACATATTACACATAGAATATCTATTAATATTTTAGCTTCTTAATTCTACACTTTACAAACATGATAAATAAAAGATAACAATAATACTTTTAGCTTTTAAACTTTTAACTACCCGGCAACTATTTGAAGTGTGGAAGCCATTGTTTTTATGGTAGTATATAATATATTATATATATAGGTTAGATATGTAGGTACATATCTAAAATTATAAATTCTTTACGTTTCATGTGTCTACTCTAGTAGGTATATATCGAATATAATCAATTTAAAAAATATATATGTATACCTAAGTCGTAAGTAACTACTTTAAATCAGTTTAGTATGTAGGTACCTACGATCTATACCTATATGTATGATTGAAATTTGACCTGTATTTCGAACCATATCTTTTTGACTTTTGTGACAATTCACATGAATATATTATGTAATTTATAATAGGTACTTTCATTATCATTATACATTTATACAGTAGGTTTTGGTAGAAGGTTGTCTACACAGTGATGTTGAACGTGTAGATATAACATAACATTTGTATGGTGGAAGGGAGTCAGTGGAAAAAAAATATACCCTATAGGTTGACTTAACCTAACAGTTGTATTTATAATAACATAAAAAAAGATGGTCATTAATCATTATTCATTAGTGTGTGAAAAAAAATTTGGTTAAACTCAAATTCTATCTCCCCAAAATTCAAAGGCCTAGTTATGGCTTGGAAAATTCTTACAGAAAGGTACAGTTCAATAATTTATCTATAATTGGTTAAAAAAAAAACGTATATTTGTATATATATATATTATACAACTTTATTTCAAAATTGTAAACTAAAATAATTAAATTATAAAACTCCATTTTCTTTTCTTTTTTTGCCAATTCGTCTATTACTCTTTTGAAGTGATGTTTGGAATATTGTTCTTTACTATTATCGTTAAATGCCTACTGTGGAGTGTGGACCTGGCTCAACAAGTGATGATGCGCGATAGACGATTAGAGGTATTGCCAACTGTTTACATATTGTGTATATAATATACAATAAGTACCTACTACCTACTTAATATTTGGTATAATATTATATACCAGGCCACCAGTGATGGGCAACTCAAAGATATTGAATTTTTAGAACTTTAAAATCTAGAGCATAGAATACAAAAAAGGTCATTTAGTGTAACTATTTATAATTAGCATTCATTTTGTACAATTTTTACAACGTCTTGTTTAACGTAAGTTTTGAGAATGAGCGACTGCAGATGATAAAGAAACAAAATCAATTTCTATTTTGAAAATGGAAACACGTAAAGGTGACCTAAGCTTATCGTCTGTAAGACTTTTCTTTTTGATTTGATATGCTTCATATACAAGAAAATGTAGTTGCATTCACAAATGTAAATCGTTCCGGGTACAGATAACATTTTTTTTATCTCGTAAAAGTGGATATTTTTCATCGGGCACGTACCTTTTTTTCCAAATTACACTTCAATTTCTCTTGTAGATTAAAACGAATCTGTTTGCCACTCACATAATTCTAATTGAAGTAAAGCATCTTGCTTTTCAATTTAAACTGTCATAGAAATATTGAACGAATTTATTAAGTCTGTGAGCATTATAATTTATAAATACAGATAAATGTTAAAATTGTATTAAGTAATTTGAAAACGTAGCAAGGGTTAGATAAAAAAGTTATGCGGGTCGTCTGCAGTTGCCCATCCATTTTTATAGAGTTTATAGGCACCTTTGCTTAATTGCTCTATATGAAATCCGTATATCACTGCTATTTTCATAGGTATATACTATATATGCTGTATAATATATTATGAAGAAAAAAATTAAATTTCTCATGAATATGAATAACAATATTGTATTTTTAAAATGTGTCAACAAAAAAAATCTATGGGGGAGGGGATCTGAGTTCTGATCACCAAATCATCATCTGTAGGTATACACTCTGGAGGCTACAATATTAGCCATAACCATTAAGTTTACCTATTAGTACAATCTGAATACGATAGACTCTGATTGATATTGTACTACTTCTGCTATGTTTGTTTAAAAATTAGGTAAATTTATTTAAGTCGTTAAAATGAACTTTTATTAATTCTGTATTGTTTATTTCAGAGGGATATTTGACAAGTTGTACTATTGACTATTTAACTCCAACAGATGAAACTAGAGCTTTTATTGGAATCATGTTTGTTATTTGTTATGTAATACCGGTCTCTTTAGTCATATTTTTCTACTCGCAAATCGTTAGCCATGTCTTCAATCATGAAAAAGCTCTTCGAGAACAGGTAGTTTATATTTGAATAGTATAGTTGAAATTTATTTAATCAAAATATTGTACTACTTAATAAACTCAATAATGATAAATATTTATATTTGATGCTAAATAATAATTATGGGTTAAGTTATCCATATTTATTTTGGTTAATTAATTAATCATTCGTTGTAGATCATGTTTAGGTAGTAGGGTACTCAGTGGCATAGTGAGTTATATTCTTATTATGGACAAAAATATTTTATTTTATACTATAATCATATAAAGAATATAATTTTTTCTCTCATATACTATACCTCTAAATTATAAATATATAATGACATGTTATAGACTTAATATTAGTATGTATCTGCTAATAACTATTTATGACCTAAAAATTATTATTTACCAACCTATTATAGATATTATTATAACCACTCCCACCTAAATTGTTTTTTAATAATCTCCGAACCGGTGGAAGACATAAGTACCAAACTGAGATAAGAAAAAAAAGTCATACCGTACGAAAGTTCCAAAATCCTATGTAGGTCTAACAGATATTAAATTTAGAACTTTATAGTTCAAAAACTCCAAAGTTTAATCTTAACCTACGTATTAGTAGAAATCAACCAATTTATTAAAATTATGTATACGTTTGGCGCTTATGTTATGCGTTGGGTATAACAAGTATAAAATATTAGATTGGCGCTTATGTTCTTCAATTTTTGGTGCAAATGATATGTAATTTTTGTATCTTTGACGCTTTTGTCATACAGCCCTCCAGTCATAAGTGCTCATTAGTTGGACGTTATGTTCACCACTCAATAAGAGTATCTACTGTTTATTAAACTTCTTAACCATGAATTTTTGCCTTTTGGTAATGTTGATCTAATATATTATCGAAATTTAGGCTAAAAAAATGAACGTAGAATCTTTGCGAAGTAATCAAGATGCAAACGCTCAATCGGCAGAAGTAAGGATTGCAAAAGCAGCTATTACAATTTGTTGCCTATTTATAGCTTCTTGGACACCATACGCCGTCGTCGCCATGATTGGTGCTTTTGGAGATCGGTATAGTTTTATTACTTTCTAATTTTTAAATATGTTTATTGAGTTACTTAATAATTAAGTTTTCAATATGAACTTGTAATTTAATACATCAGTGGGGTTTCCTTGAAAGGGAGGGGGGGTTGAAAATTATTTTTAGACAAATTATATCTGAAAATAAAAAATTAATGACATTTTTTTTATTATTTAACAATTTTTAATGTTACAATCTCCTTAACCTCCCCCCTCCCGTTTGGATACGCTACTGTAATGCATGTGATCATCAAATGGCATAATATTATTTAATTTACTATAATACCTACTAATTACTAATCAGTTTCATTTTTATACTTCAATAGATCATTACTGACACCCGGTGTCACAATGATACCAGCGATATTTTGCAAGACTGTGGCTTGTTTCGATCCTTATGTGTATGCAATAAGTCATCCAAGATACAGGTGAACTAATGATGATTATTAGTGAAATAAATTATAAATGTTATTAATTATAATCTTTAGTATTAGGTAGGTACCTATACGCTATAATACTTAAATGGTTAGAAAAATAAGCATTAATAAAGTAAATGTATAGGTATAAATAAATGGTAGATATTTGTACATAAAAATAATAAAAAATGTTGTTCTTAGAATAATTCAGTTGAGTGCCTAGGCAGGTATATTAGTAGAGTAAAAAAACTATTTTATTAAATCTTAGAATCACTTAACTTATTTTCTATTTAACGTTTTTTTTAGTTAAAAATTTAAACGTAATACAATATTTTAACACTCCACCACCATCTTTTCTATGAAATGTATAAGTTATATTGATTAGTCCCACCTTCCACATGTAAATCAAGAAAAGTATCATTATATGTTTCTACATTTTTTACTGAGTTTACAATCTATAGGTACCTACACAAAACTGTATGGCACCTACCTTTTAATTACTTGTTTTAGGAACTTAGACAGTACTATCGTTTATTATTTGAGCCTAATTTTTGATTAGATTAGAACCTATTTATTAGAAATAATTCGAATAATAAAATATTAACATTTTATTGCGAACACTTTTCGACAGGAAACTGCAGCCTTCTCCCTAAATAAAAAAAATCAAATACAAACAATTATTGTATACAAATAGATGGTATAAAGGTATACATTAAAATATGATCATGATATACATTTTTTTGAATACCTACCACTTTATATAATTATGATGTAGCCTCCCCGCTATCTAACTCGATAAGTAGATACATTTTCAATTAATATTTAGCAAATAAACGTCAAATTATTAGAAATTACCTTTGAGAATTTGCAAAACATCTACAATGCCACAAATTAATTTTTGTACGTTTGGAGGCCAACTTCGGGGAGTCACTGAATCTTATCCTTTCCGAACCAACGAAAATATTTAGTAGCTACAACAATTCCAAGTAATTTAAAATAAATAAATTGTAGCAATTTTTTTATTAATTTTAGTTACTTTGTTTATTTTTTTACTTTGTTCAAATGTTCCGAATTAATTTTAAAATTTAGCAAATCAATTTGATAGTAAATAATAATGCAAATAATTTCAAACCACTTTTAAAAATAATAATTTTTTATATTTCATTACACAAATTAAAGTGTAGTCACATTCAAAATAGACATTTTTCTATTAGGTAATTTATGAAATACAAAGTTAAAACAATTTCTAGCAACATAACGTAATTACATTTTTTATAATAATTATTATGATGCGATGTATTTAATAGTTTATTGAATTAATTTAATAGAGGCGGTAGGTTAACTTTATCACTAATGCCCGGATACGTTGTACTGGAGCAGGAGCGTGCCTAGGGGTGGGTGTTCATCCCCCCCCCCACCCGAAAAATAAAAATAATTATTAATAAAAGTTGACCATGATATAATATATATGTGGAGCTTGATTAGCCTAGGTCTGGAGATAGACCCCCCTCCCCCAATTAGGCTAGGTCCACATGGACGTGGTAAAAATATTGAACAAATAATTGTATTAATCATAAAATATTATGTAATTAGCAACCTAGATATGTTATGTTATGTTATAAAATGCTGAACTGTGAACTAAAATGATGTGATACAATTTGTAGGTATTCTGACTTCTAAGTCCAATATAAATCCATTATCATAACTATTTATAGTGTTCTCTGACACTATCATTTTGAATTTTTAAGCTTAGAGAAATATATTATTAGGTTAGTTAATATAGTTACCCACGCACCGGCGCATTACAGGTAATTAAGTAAAAATGGCGAAGTTTACATTAGACTTTTTCATTACCTATTTATATAACCGGTATTCTGACGGAGCTTACAATCACCCAAAAATCAATTTACGACATAAAAAACGCAAAAATTCCCTGAACAATTGTATATGTTAATGTCGTAAATACTTAAAAAACACTCATACAACTGTTAAAATGCATAAAGTTAATAATATTGTTTATTGATTTTAAAATTAAAAATTAAAAATTGTATAATTTTGAACTCAAATCTATATATATATATCAAAAATAATGAAGTTGTGGTTTTTTTTGACTCGTGAAAAGTTTAAAAATAAAAAAAATTATAAAATCATAAATTTTCTCTCAATTGTTACAAAAAAAAGTAAAAAATTCCACAAAACTTCCCTAAAACGTAAAAAAACACAAACATAAAATTTTTTTATATAGATTTGTATGTTATTTGAACAAATTTTAAGCTAGGAAAGTATCGTTTATGATGTTTTAAAAAAACATTCTGGTCCTAATGATAATATATTAATATTACCTAAGTCTATAATATGCGGCGGAACTATCAGTTGAGTGTACAGTTTCGCATCGACATAATAATGCGTGAAGCTATAATGTCATAAATAATTATGTATAGGTAAATAGTAAATATGCTTTTTTACTGAATTACTGATTAGGATTTATCTACATCTAATGTAAATCGTCAAATAGTCAAATTTAAAAATGTAAGGTCAATAACCGTTTGTGGTGAATCATGACCATTCACTTATCGCCCTTAATACACAATAACTATGTAATATAGTTGCAAAAACATTTATTTTATGAGTATGGAAGTATAGTTAATCGATCATACTTTATTCAATTATTCTATTAAATTGAATTTATAAAAATTATTTTTATTTAGATTGGAATTATCAAAACGTGTTCCATGTCTTGGAATCAATGAAAAGCCACCAACACCGTCCGAGACCCAATCTACAACTACTACAACTGCTTAACTTACACCTACCAAATATTATAATACGTTTATAATTGAATTAATGATAAATCAATAATAGATAAATAACTGAACGTGTGTTTTGTAAAATATAACTATTATCCATACATTTTATTTAACTGTCTACTCCAAAGAATGTACATTTTCTATTTATTTTAAATTGATATGTAACGTTTGATTGGCCTACTTTAGATTTATTGCAAAATAAAAACGTAAGAAATAATTTTCAGTGTACCTGTTCCAACCAAATTTGTAAACTTTAAATAAAATATTGTTATCAAGTGAATAATGAAACGGGTTAGGTACTACTATTGATTTTTGAATTGTAAAATTATGTATGGCTAAGCTAATAAAACTTGATTTTGAAAATTAAGAAATAACATTATATTTATATACTATTGTAAATGTGAAATCATTTAAACTAAAAAATTTAATTTGGTGAACATTATTCATACATGTTATATATTAGACATGTTATACATATTTTATTATTTATTATGATAACCTAAAAGCGGGTATTGTTTTATTTATAAGTAGGTACCTACTTAAATTACTTCTCAGTTAATAGATATCTACATTCATTATTTTCTGCTTACTTTTCTATTCACTGAATTAGTAAAAGTAATTTTCCTTTATAAATAAAACACAAATAAAATATTGTTTCATCAGAATAATAATTTAGTAAAAAAATAATTAGTTATGTTGTTATGCTAATGAAAAATCAAATAAAACAAATTAGGGATTCGCTCTGTTGTTCTGATATAGTAATTAGTTGCCTATAGGTTTCAAGTACTCAAGTTTACCTCGTCAATGTGTTAGCCATCAGGTCACTAAAATGATTTATATTTAGTTAAGTTTTAATTTTCAATTTAGTGGTATATCATTATTCATTACATACGAAAAACTATTCTCAGTGACTGAGAAAGACTGTCTGTTACTTAATATATTTAAATCTATAACAAAACTTTTAACTCTATTGACTTTAAGAATATCTATATTTTATTATACATTAGAATTTTTACTAGTGATTTATTTTTGATATTAAAATTCTTATACCTGGGGTAAAATAAACAAACCGAAGCTTAGAAAGAAGTTTATGTTTTTCAAAAAATATTAGGAGTCTGTTTTCAACAATTCTTTTCAGATTTTAGGAAAATTGCATCTTCGCATGGAAAATGTTTATAGATATTTTATCTCTATTATTATGTATAAGTGTACCTAACTATTCTATTAAGACATTGCCACATTGGGGATCAACTATGTAATATATCTTCTATGAGTTATTTATTATTTATGAAATATAACAGTAAGAAAAATGACAATTTATTCTTATTTGCAGGGCATACATGATATGTTATTTATAATTTTAAATGTTGGTATAGGGGAGAATGTGGTAAGTTTACGAATTGTGTGATATGATTAGGTACATTTAGGTGGCGTGGTGAACTTTTTTTCTACGAGATCAACAGAATCTGGACATATTTTGGACTTTGGGACTCTTTGGATTTCTTGGCCGCATTTTTTGAGGGCCCCCCTCTAAAGTCTATTGACACTCGCGAAAATATTTCAAATATTTAAGTGACAAGACTTAATCCTATATAAAATTATTTAGAAAATTTAGCTCCACAAAGATTATTCTCTAAATTGCTGTTAATTTGGATTAATGTTTATAGGGTTTAAATTATTAAAAAAATTTAATGTCACAACATTTTTATCTTTGTAATATTTAAATAATTTTAAATTAGGATACATAGGAAATATAGTAATGTAGATTATTTTAACATTTTCGATTATTGGAAACACTAAGTTATACTATTCAAATAAAGTACCTAATTAGTTTTTAAGACATACATAAATATATTATAATAAATATATTTATATATGTAATTAGACATGGTATATTCGATATTACTTTATTATGAGTGGTTTTGAATATTTAAACAACTAAAACCATATAAATGTTAAATCATATAAACAACAAAAACAATGTATTTGTTTTTTGAAAACCAATATTATGAAACCTTTTGTTTTATTTTTAAACACTAATTTATGAGTTAAATTTTAAAACTGTATTTTTTATCCATTGAAATTTCAAAAAATATGAAATTATTCTTTTTATATATGTGGCTTAGATCCAAAGTTGACTTAACAACTAAATAAAATTTGTTTTTAAAATTAGTATCAGAGTAAAAATCAAAAGATACTAACAGATTTAATGAAAAAATATTCACAATTATTACCATCTTTTTCTCCTTTAGTTGTTATTGCAGAACTTAAATTATGGCGGACTTTTCTACAAAATTTGTCTAAAATTTCATCCAATTTATTATAATTACTTAATAATTGTAATGAAAATGACTATCCAAATGTCTAAAAACTGTTAAAAATCGTGGCAACTTTACCCATTACAACAGCTACTGCAGAAAGGTCATTTTCGACAATGCGACGATTGAAAACCTATCTTAGAAATACCATGGCAGAGAACCATTTAAATGGATTAGCTCAGCTGAATATTCACTGGACAATTGAAGTCAATCCAGAAGTAGTGTTGGATGAATTGGCAAAAAGAAAAAGAAAAATTGATTTAGTATTGTAATTACATTGTATTGTAGGTGATAACTATTTTAACCCTGACATTCGGACATTATTTATATTATTATGTATTTTACTAACAATGTTTAAAACATAAGTTGTATTTGTTTAAAACTAATAAATTTAAGAATTAATTTTTTTCGATATATGTTATATTTTTACAATAAAAATAAATATCCGATAATATGAAGTAAAGTATGGTAAGTTTAAATTTGCTGAACCCCCCAAAAAATTTTTGAAGCTTCCGCAATTAATATTTTATGAATTATTAAAAAATAAAAAAAATTGTTTGAGGATAAATCGTTAGGATATCGTTTGAGTATTCAGTATACTTAATTCCAATAAGTTAGCATTATTGAACTTAACTAATCTAAAAATCTCTCTCTCAAAAAAAAACGTAATTTTTAATAATCATTTCAAGTTTATATTTTGACAAAATTGGATACTTGAACAAAGAAAAAATAAAACATTTTGTTATTGTATTGCTTATTTAAAAATATTATTCGTATTATTACTATAGAACCAGGACTTCACCTCTACATATTCTAATGTGAACTATAAAGTTATTAACAGCTGGACCTAGTAATATTATATTAAATAATACCTATTATTATTATGTATAATATGTGATTTGTTTTTGGCAGAAATTAGTTCAACCTACTCTATTAAACTCATAGAAATAGAGTAATAAATAACTAATATCAATATATTATAATAACATATAGGTAACCTGGTAACCATATAAATATTGACAGACCATATCTTCTCAGAACCTTTTTTCATAGGTATTCAATGATTGATTATTGAAATCAAGTTCAACACATCTATGATGAGGTACACAACTCGATATTTAATCTACAGCAGGCTGCAGAGAAATTTTTCTAGTAGGATTTTTTTGTTTTTTAAATTTTGATGTAACTTACAATTATTTTAAAATTCTTATAACTTGCTTTAAAAACAAAATATCTAATAAATCCTGGATGATATTTTTACCCTATATGATAATAGGTCCTAATTCAAAATTGTATCAAAAATTAATTAATTGTATTATTTAATTTAAATTTGACATATTACGACTTATGACGTGAAATTTCACCTTTCGGAATCAACACTCCCGGGTATTTAATAAAAAATTTGATTTTAAATGTTCGAATTCTGGTAAAAATAACTTATGTCTTATTCATTTAATGTCTCATTTATTATTAATACCTAGTCGTAAGTGTAAGACAATAAGTTTCAAATTGTCTGTTTTTTATTTGTATAAATCAATCTTAGGAAACTACTCTATCTATAAATCAAAATTCTTTGTAAAAATATTTAGGGTAACAAATAATTCAGATTTTTTTTTGGAGATGGTTGTACCAATAACAATTTTTCAGAAATGACATAGGTACTAATATTGTAATAGTGGAGAGGTAAACTCTGTAAAAATAAATTTCATGAAGAAGGCATTTCGAGGGGGGAGGATTTTAACCCCTATTTCTGTGTCCATCGCTGTCTAATATATTAATCAACTTAAACATATATTTTATATTTTTCTAATATAACGTACAAAAAATGTTCGTACTAATAGTAGTAATTATGTTTTTAAATAAAAATTCCATAAAAATACAAAAATATTCTTTAACATTTCTTAGTGATGAAAACAATCTGTTGTCTATTGTATAGGTATAGTAGTTTAAAACAAAAGTAAATGTAGTATCTTACCTTACTATAATATTCTATCCAATCCAAGGATAGTACAAATAAAATATACCAGCTATATAGTATGATATTTAAGTGAAGTATATTAAACTATTATTTATATTAAAATATAATACTGCCACGATTAGTTGTATAATGAATATATTTTACTGTTTGTACCGTTATATACACCACACTCCCTTCCATAAGGAGCATGATATGATTACATAGTTTTTTTAAATCTGTTATATCACGAAGACTTACAATATCTAACATCGAATTAATGTTAGAGAATTATTTAACTTACATGTTAATACGTGGCGTGTATATTGAATTAATTTTTGCAACCTCAGTACTTTCACTATACAATGGTTGTTATTTAGTTTATATAAAATATTTTGCAAAGAGCATTTTGAGCTGACGGATCTAGGTGTCAATAGTTTTACAGTGATGTAATTTTTAGATGAAGCGTCCCTTTTAACCAATTTAAATCAAAACACAAATAACAAGTTAATACCTACTTGATACTTTCCTTGAAATTAAGCTCGGATTAAAAATCCATTGAGCCCAAATACTTCGTAGGCCCCATCAATCCAAACTTCAACCATTCGCACCAACTGTAGGTATTTTAAATTTTCACCAAATGTTTATAATGACCATTTTCCGTACATGGTAAAATTTTCGAAATATTTTCAATCTCTTTGAACTATTATAAGCATAGGTAATTTTCGATTTTTAAAAGTTTTATTTAATTATTGCCTACAAAAAAATTGTTACTCTGTAAAAAAAACTTGAAAATAATCTATACAAAGTTCCTCATAAGTTGTTATAAGTGTGATTTAAAAAAAAAAGTTGACTATAAATTCACAACAGTTTTTAATGAGCATCTGAAGTTAGAACTTTGGCAAAATTCGTCAAAATCACAAATCTTTGCAGGGTTTTCTAGTTTTATTGAAAAAAAATTTACTGGAATGTTACACGATTTTAAAATTTTTACGTCATTCGATATTCACGTTTAAATAACGATTTCTCATCGAACGATTTTCTTTTTTCGTAATAATTCAATAACAAATAACAGATGCTTGAAATGTCATACGTAATGTTTATGCAAATTGTAGGAATTGCTTTTAAATTTTCAATAATTTTAACTCACTTTAAACTATAAAGACATTTGAAATTTACATTTTTTTTAGTTTTTATTCTAAAAATGTCGATACAACATTTTTTGTTTGGTCAAAAATCTTGCAAATTTAATGCGAAATTCCTCATAAACTGTTTAATAGCATCTTAAAAATAATAAAGATGAACAGCCACAATTTATTTTTATAAGAATTTAAAATTAAATGTTGAAAAATTCATCAAAATTGCAAAAATTCGAAAATTATTTTGTAGTTATAAATGTATAAAATATTAAAATTATTTAGGTAAGGATTGAAAATTTAAATCAATGTTTTTTGTATTTGTAGTTCAAATCGTAACCAAATATCTAAAAAAAATATTATAAGAGTTGTTTTTATAGTTTTTGTTTTTGAATTTTAATGAAATTAGATATTTAAACAAAAGACAACAATTTTAGTTAATTCTTTGGGACAGTGTAATTTGAAAATATTAATTGTGTGTGCTTTAAACTCTCAAAGTATATTTTTATATTTTATAGACACATTGATATTTTCAAAATAAATGCTTTTAACAAAAATTAATTCAACCTATTGCTGTATTACTAGTAAAATAGCAACATATATAAAATATACTTAGTATTATACTAATATAGTCTGACAAGTGACAGACCGTCTTCGCTCAGAACTATTTTTTTGGCATGCGATGGTTTATGGTTTGTCAATTTAACATGTTAAATTGCATATAAATTCAGTGACTCACTTGAAACCTACTGTACAGAGTGGTACCTACTTGCCCACTTTTTTTATTCTATTTTTTGAAATTTCTTTTGAGTGCATTAATAAATATATTTTGTAGAAATATATGGACCTCATTATTTTTTGCAACCCATTAATCAGGACTTGTTTAAAATGGTCTTTTTTCTAACATAAAATTTAAATTGTCGGGTGCACTCGTTAATACATTTTATTGTACATCAGGATTTACCCAAGATTTATCATGAAGTTAATAATAGTGCAATAAGAATAAATTCTTGATATTGCTAAGGAGTATAGCGTGACAAGTTCTCAACATTTAAAGTAGGTATCAGTTTTATTCTATCCATAAAGGTGTCAGAAATAGAAATACTAGCATAGTCTATAATGATATATAGGATCCGTACCTAATGAATTTATAATTTTTTAACTAAACTTGGCTGTTTTTAAGAGTATTTTTCAAAATAACTCTAACTTGTTAAATTTGTTATTTACGATACAATGATACAGCAAATCTACAATAAAATATGCAGAAAATATTATTCATTTTAAAATGTTTCTTATAAATAAATCATTGAATGTTACTTGGAAAATGTACAACAAATATTTTACCCAGATTTCATCAGCATTGTTAGAGTATTGAATTTTTATTTATTTAGTAAATCATAGAACAAAAAATCATAAAACATCTTAGAATGTAAAAATATGAAACAACTATAGGTGTTCCGTTCTTAACAAATCCTTATTGATGAGCAAAAATGTAAATAACAAGTGTATTATACCAATTTCTATCAATCAAGAACAGTTTGTCTTGATACAGAGTTCTATGATTTAACATTATTGCATTCACTTTGTTCCTAGTATAAGTGAGTATTATTTAAAAAAATAAATTTAAAGAAATAATTTGTAATTAGCAATGAATTATTATTCATATATTAAGTCATGGAAAATCGAAGCTAATAGCGAAGCTCAAATAAACTACATTAATTGTATCCATCCAAAATGTTTCGAAGTTTTCTGTAATATTTCTTTACACTCAGTAAAATTTCTGAAAAAAAATAAAATAAAAACTTAAATTTTCCATCGATAAATATAGTAACTTTAAACTTTGGAATCACTATTACTATAAAAAAATTTACAACAAATATCAATTATGAAAACGAATATATTAGATTATAATTTAAAATTTGTACTTTTTAAAGTACAAATTATGTCATTTTCTACTATTTTAACTTTAACTAATGTATTTATTTGACATAAATTATCATAGGTACGTTCAAATATCAAATGTATCCATGTAGGTAATATATATTTCATCAACTCATATTTTGGACGACGAGAATTCTTTATTACTCGATGGTCGAATAGTTAAGTCATGTAAACATGTTTTCTTCTTTGATTATATAAAATCCAACCCATTTTGAATCTGATTATAATAAGTATTATAGTTTAATCATTGTGTAAATAACAGAATAAGGCTGTATGTCACTGAGGATAAATTAAAAAAAATAATAACAACATCCCTTGTAAGTTAGCGAGGATTATCAGTTGATAGGCTACAATTATATAATCCATGTTGTCCCTGTGATGCATATTATTTATATAAACCCAGATCGGCTTAATAATTGCGTTTGTTTCGGTCGTAGTAGTGACTAGTGTTTTAGACTAGCACTAACAAACGTTAATAATGGATTTCAACCGAAGTGTGTCGAGACCTTTATCACAACTTGGGTACGGTACAAAATTATTAAATAGCATAGTATAATGTAAAAACTCGATATTTTACTAGGTACCTATATAATATTGGGGATGTTTGACTTTTGATTAGTTCTAGTTTCATGGAAAATGAAGACGAACTTCAATTAATGGGTTGGAATCTTACTCCAGAAGATCTTACTCACATACCAGAACATTGGTTGTCATACCCAGAAGTTAGATCACTCTACCATTATATTTTGGCATTTGCTTATACAATTTTATTTTGTCTCGGTGTAATTGGAAATGGTTTGGTGTTATGGATATTTTGTGTGTAAGTACTAGTATTAAATAAATAACATATTGTATATATATATATATATGTGTGTGTGTTTTTTACACAGGCTCAATATAATATAACATTAAATTATATACTAATAATACTTGAAATTAAAATGAACTGATTTGTATAACATATTTACAGGTTCATAGTGTTAATATTTGCAGGATTATAGCTAGGTAGAGCTCGCTGTTCAATGTGACATAATTTTAAAACATTTTCTTACAAGTACCTATCTACGTGTTTTAATTTTAAATTTATGCAAAACTTTCATGTAGACATGTAACCCTCTAATCATTGATTGAAAACATAAATATATTTAAATATGGATACAGTATACAGTCACGTTTAATGAATATTTGAATGGTATAATATAAAAAAATTACATATACATTTATATTGTTCAATGGTTTTTAAAAAATAACAACCATTTTCATTAATGAGTATGTTCAAATTCAAGTTTAAGGGGTTTCGGAGGTTATAAATAGACTATTTTTCTTTAAATACAATTTTGAATTGCTAGTTAAATATTTTGTGGTTTTTATTTGGTAGTTACACTTTTTTAAGAATCTCAATTCATACATATGAAGTTTATTGTATTACTTGTATTTTAAAAGATGCACAAAAGATCAAATATTTTTAACAAATTGTATTTAATTTATTACTATTGATAAAAGTTTTGATTATTTTTAAACTATTATAATATATGTATAGTAAATAGTAAAAACACTACTAAATATTTGATTACGATATTTCAGGCTTCACGTGTAAGCGCATGGTAGGTACTCGTCAATGTTCACGCCACCTTAATAAAATATTCACTATTGTCATTATTTAATATCAAGAAAAAAAAATAGAATTTTTCTGAAGGATTAAAATTCATTAGTTTTATTAGAGGTGTCAAAAAAAATATTTAACTTAAAGTTTGAACAATTCTAATATAGGTACACATCATACATTTATACATTGTGTTCATAATCCTTATGATATACAATATTACATAATTTTTCCCATTTTATTGCCTATTAATTTTTTAAACGTTTACAGATCAAACGATTGAACATACCTAGGTCCTTATTTCAAGATTAAAAGTTATTTTTTTAAATTGTTAACAGACTATAATTTGTATTAGTATTCGTGTAATCGTGAAGTTAAAAAAATAGGTATCTTTTATTTTAGATCAAAACCATTACGAACACCTTCCAATTTGTTTGTGCTCAATTTGGCGATGTGCGATTTTTCTATGGTATTAGTACTACCGATCCTCATTTATGATTCAATAGATCATAAATATCCAGGCCATTTACAGTGTCAGATATTTGCATTGTGTGGATCTATTAGTGGGATTGGAGCAGGAGCCACAAACGCTGCGATTGCTTATGACAGATATAGGTAAAATAATTTAATTAGTTATATTATAATTATTGTTCATTTGATAAATGTAGTGCCTAGATAACACACTAAAAATAAAAATAGTTAGGAAAAGCAGCTAGCTGAGTTAGGTTAGGCTAAGTGAGTTTATGACAACTACAAATGACCATCGAGGATAATTTATTATTTAGGTAATACTTCTAATAATAGGCAATACTCACTAGATGTCTAGATAAAAAATCAGATTAAAAAATTCAAACAAAAGTAAGCTTTATGTTATAATTTTATCATTAAATGATTATCTTCAATATATTAGTTCAAGTTTTAATTTAATTAATATTTTTAGTACGATAATAAAGCAAAAACAGGGTTTTTCAGTTTTAGATTCTGAGCGATGATATTGGTTGTATAATGATGTGTGCTTATTTTTTTATGACGTAATCACTGAAAGTAATAAAAATACTTCAATCTTCACTTCAGAGGTGGTTTATATTATACTGACCTATTACACTGTTCTACGGAACATTGGAAATTTGGAATTTACATTCAACATAAAACGTATTTATGAAATAATATTTTTAATGATTAAATGAGATCTGTTTTTGGCAAAAACTAATTTACTAATAAAAAAATTATCTAAGGACTTTGCTCAGAATTTGTTCTCCATCGTGTACTCATTGAATTCAAATTTAATTTCAGTGACCTAATTAATGACGAGATACATCAACATCTGCTACACAGCAGATCATTTCCCCTCAATTTTTATGTACCTATGTGGCTATGTAGTATATATTATTAGAAGTAGTTACTGTATAATGCTTCATTAGATCATTAGAAAACTTGAGTTGTAAATTTGTAAGCGTAGCATCAATATGATTTTTCAAAAAAATCTTAAATTTATAAATTAAACTCTATATAAATAGCTAGCAATTATATTATGATCTAATTATATGTATATGCTTATATCGTTTTCATAAATGTTTGCATATATTCACTTAAAATTTTTATTTTCTAGTACAATTGCAAAACCATTTGAAGGTCGTATGACTTATGGTAAAGCATTAATATTGATCATATGTATTTGGATTTATGTTTTACCATGGTGCTTACTTCCCTTAACCGAAAAGTGGAATCGATATGTTCCGGGTGAGTCAATATAACTATATAAACTATATACACTAACTAAGTCCTGGATTTCAAAGAAAAATATATTTTTGTGGAGGGGGTGCTGCTAGAAGAATGTATTTTAAGTACTTACCTACACAATGTGGTTCTTGTAATAGATACTTCAAAAGGGACATTTTACTATTTTAGTTCTCATTTCTTGTGTATTTACATTTGCAGAATTTACCAATGTTAGGTAATTTTAATTGTTTTAATAAAACTAAAATTAACCATGTATTTTTTAAGTGGTCAAAAAGTATTTTTAGCTATTTTTTTTATTGCTTTAAAGCATTTAAATCCGAACTTTATTAGGGCATATAAAACACTCAAAACTCAAATTTTTTGAACCTATAGATTAGGGTTTTTTCAATGATCCCTTTTTTCATACAAAACATATATATACGATATATGCCACATAATTGACTTTAATAAGCAAAATAAAGTCACATTACTAACTACTAAGTATCACAGCTGTACTACTTTTTTTGTATGTGATAAATTAAATTATTATTTATATGTCTACTAACAAAATAATATTAATAGTACCTAACAGTTGTATTAAATATTAATGTACGTGTATGTTTATTTTAAAGTTTAATTTTAGTTTTTAACTATTTATTATATTTCTCACTAATTAATATTTACAAACGGAAATTATCGGAACATCCGAACATGAATAGGGTTAGGATGTTTATGACCTTAAAAAACACTAAAAATGCATTGAAATATGCCCTTAAAATCAATCATGAAATTATAAAATTTAAACATTTTGATATTACCTAAATAAAAATATACTATAATTTAAACTAAAATTTTTAACTAAAAATTACAAATATGCAAAAAATATGAACTTGCACTTGTTAATTTCGGATTTACTAAACATAGGTAGAATAGCACTATAACATCCGTTGAATTTGTTCTGTGAAAATACATCCTCAATCCTCTACAAATTATACAACTTTTTGTGTAGTTGAGCAGCATTGGAACTTTTAATTTTGAGCATTTTTAGAGAAAATAAAACGCATTTTTAAACTAAAATAATTCGGTAACACTACTTTTTTGGGGAGAGGCAATTCCAGTAACCTTTTTACAACAAACTTTACGGGAGGCAATTCATGAGCGCCCTATCGGATATACTATTAACACTGAATCTTTAGTTACCTAGTGTATGGTGTGCCCCAGGTAGACTGCAGGGGCGCTCATGAATTGCCTCCCGAAAAAAAAGTAGTCGAAAAAGTAGTGACCATCTTATACTGGAATCGCCTCCGATAGCTATGATTAATCGATTTAGGTATAACCTAACATATTATAGACTAATAAACATATTAAATAAACTGAAAAAATAAATGTTGATTTATAACTATAATATTTTATTAAATAGACTGTCTTAACAATAATAAAAAAAAAATTAAAAGTCAATACATAAAATAATTTAGACGATGTGAAAAATGTCAGAGTAAAAACTTATACATATTTTAGTACATAGACTGACAGCTATTACAATAATAATTAATAATAATAAAAATAATAAACATAGTCAATACATAAAATTATAATTAATAATCAACATAAAATAAATGATAAAAATAAAAATTTAAGTTTGTTATATTGTATTATAATTGTATCTCAGCTCCTAGGTTTAAAAAAGAAGGAAAGAATTCGTATTATTTTTTATGTAAGTTTCGTCTGAGCGTGTTAATGTACTTACTACTTACGTTACAATTTTTCATCTCGTCAAGAAATAATTTTGCAAGTCGTTCAGATAGCTGTTTTAAAGCTTTTATTTTTAAATTGTGCTGAGTATTTGTCTATTGATTTTTCGCTCCGAGTCTTTCGCGAAATTGTGAATAAGTTTACTATTTTCGAACTGGATTTCATTATATTTATTAGTTTTTAAATAAGCTGACCATATTTTTTTGTACACGTCCATCGCTTAACGTCATTGGCCACATTTTTGTGGAATCCAAACTTAAAACCATCACAAATTAAAATTGTTTTGCCTTTTTCACTAATAATGGTGGGAGTTTACCAATTGCGCTTAAAATGACCTTTTAATATACCAATTGCGCTCTGTCTTTTTTGGGTCGATATACCAATTGCGCTCTGTATTTTTTGGGTCGATATGCCAATTGCGCTGTCTTTTTTTGGGTTGATAGACCAATTGCGCTCAGTTGTTTTCAGGGTTTATATTATTTTTTAAATAAACGTTAATATTAATAATAATTGTACAATATAAATCTATACCAAATTATACACATAGATACAAGTCAATAATACATAATTAATATACATAAAAATATAAAAATATAATTACAATTTATGTTTCCATTTAATGTTTTTTATATTTTACTGAAATAATAAGAAACTGGTTTTAAAAATTCTTTGCAAGTAATTTTTCCGGATTTGTATTTCTCAATAATAGATTCTAATATTCTATGGCCACTTTTTTCACTAAATACGCTCGGTTTGGTGTATATTTATCTTCTTCAGTACTGTTTATAGCAGTATAGGTAAGTGTTGGTTTGTGTTTCTATAATTGCTTTTAGAAAGACAAAAATATTTGGATGTGAGGAATAAAAATTTGATGAAAACCTTCACATGCATTGGTTAGGTTAGGTTAAGTACGTTCAAAGCTTATTGTATTCGATGCCCACAGTATGGGAGGGAATGCAGAGGTTGATGATATATCATTTTCAACGATATAGTCAGTGAATTTAGTAACATATGAATTCGTTGGCTAAATTGTCATTAATTCATTTATAAAAACATCCTCCACTTCATAGTGTGGAAAAAGTGACAAGCCAAAAATTAAATGTAGCCATTTTCCTATTTCAGAATCTATGTTTTTATACTCAGCTTATAGTCCATATCTTTGGATATTCCTCCACTAAGCTTGTGTGAAATGAAACCTACAACCTACCAGAGTTATTGAAGGCCAAACTTTTTAAACAACAAAATGAATCGCTTGTTTAAAATCGGCAACGACTGTTTTTGGACTAAAATAAAGGTTAAAAGTTGCACATTTACTGTGTATATTCATATGTAACTTTTTCCACCGTGTAGTAACTTACATATGCCCATGCAAAAATAAGGAACCTACAATATAAGTAGCGCAATTGGTGTACTGACCTAAAATTTAAGCAGCGCAATTGGTATACTGACCTAAAATTTAAGCGGCGCAATTGGTATACTGACCTAAAATACAAATATTGTTTTAGGCGCAACTGGTCCATGCCCATAATGGTTATGACGGACTAATCTTTAACTGATAATCAGTGATCGACGAGATTGTTGCATTCGACAAATTAATCTGTCAGGGAAATACTGTATGTTTTAAAATAATGTTATAACATAAACGAAATTCATATAATAATCAATAGTATAGGTACCTAAAACTATCGATGATCTAAGTATGCTATGGGACGCAATTTGAGTGAAAAAAGGTTACTTACCTAAATTTGGGAGCCAATTCGAGTGTCGCCGTCCGATAGGCATCACCACTCGATTGCGATTTTTGGTTGTAAAAATATAACTGATAATTGATAAATATGTAGAAAAAATAAGATAATTAAAAACAATAAAAACTACATGTTTCATATTTTCTCGATTACGTTAGCTGTGAAACCAACAATACCTCATATGTGGGTTTATATAATATTATATAAGTTAGTTTTTAGTTTTAACTTTTCAGAAAATAGGTCAATAAAAATAAAAATAGGTAGGTAAATTTATGATTTATTGAATTTTTTCATCGAAGTATGCATTTATTTACAGTTTTTTTTTCAAAATATGTATTTATTCATAAAAATCCCTAAATATGCACAAATATGCAAAGTAAAATTGAATGTATCTGATTCTATGTCACACGAAAAGAATTTATAACTTGATCTGCAACATGAACGACTAAAAGAAAAATTTGAAAAAGTCATAAACATCTTAACCCCAAACATGACTATTGATGTACCTACTCAGATCAAGTAGATAAGACAATAAAAAAAAAATGGTTGTAATACCATAGAGTAAACTAGTAAATATTTTTCTTGAATTTATTCTTTACTTAAATTTCGTAACTTTATAATAATCATTTTTGTTTCCAGAGGGTTTTTTGACAAGTTGTTCTTTTGACTACTTAACGCCTACCGAGGAGACTAAAGCTTTTGTTGGAACCATGTTTGTGATTTGTTACGTGATTCCCATGTCTTTTATAATATACTTTTATTCACAAATTGTCTGTCACGTGTTTAACCACGAAAAAGCACTTCGTGAACAAGTAATTCAAGTCAAATTTTAATTATAAATATATATATATATATATATATATATTAAGTTAGTATATTTAAAAGGAGGTTACTCAAAAGTTGTTAATATATCAATTAAAAAGTATCTGAAATACAAAATCACCATTTTTATGAGCGTTTTTTTTTTACGAAATTCATCAACATTTTGAAAATACTTACCTTTACAATTTATTTTTAGGTAAAAATTCTTAAAATTTTTAATTCAAACTATTATAAGGTCTGAATTATATTACAAGATGCCTCATACATTTTTATCTTGATTTTTTCGCTATTCATTTTAGGATATTTTAAGCTATTTAAAAAATGAACCTATTCAAACCGTTTTATGGTTAATCAGTATTGTGTTAAAAGTTAATAGGTAGCAATAAAATATCATATAAATATATAATATTATAATAACTAATAATATAATAAAATATGCTATTCCTTGAGCAAAAATTTATTTGACCTACTGATTTACTAATAAGTTGTTAAATAAATTACTAGTGCTATAAAAAAAAATATGTTCCTATCTAATATAGTATGCTTAATAGTTAATAATACAATTAATATAATATAATATAATTATTTTTTTTATTGTTAAGGCTAAAAAGATGAACGTTGAATCTTTGCGGAGTAATCAAGATGCAAACGCTCAATCAGCGGAAGTAAGAATTGCTAAAGCCGCAATTACGATTTGTTTTCTGTTTGTAGCTGCCTGGACACCATATGCAGTGGTCGCTATGATCGGTGCTTTTGGAGATCAGTAAGAGTTTTAATACCTACTAATATTTGTCGCTATTTGTCATTAAGTATAGTGCCTCTATACATTTTAAATAGGACAAACCGCATTCACAAAACTGATCATGATGGATAAAATTATTATTTTTCTAAAAAATGCTTATTAGTCTTAATATATTTGGATCATTTTTACTAATAATTCCGCTTTATTTCGTCACAATCACTTGTATTGAGTCTATAAGAAATACAAAATTAACTATAACGAGGACTGAAGGACTCAATTCCCAGTGCTTGAAGAATACGTTTAGTACGGTTTCTAAAGTACAATATTTTTTTTTTTAAATTATGATTGTGGCTCATATTTAGGTATCAAATAAGAATTAGTAGGATAATATGTGATCAAAAACTATTATTCTGTCCATACTTATGAGTTTTCTTTAATTGTCCTATTGAAAAAAAGAAAAGTTTAAATTTTGTCCTATTTTGTATAACTATATAAGTGTCTCGAATCGTTACTGCTTCTTCCTATTAAGATATTATGTGTCAGTACCTAACTATTTTTATTTTAAGATCTCTACTAACGCCTATCGCGTCAATGCTACCAGCGGTGTTTGCCAAGACGGTGGCTTGTTTCGACCCTTATGTATACGCAATCAGTCATCCTAAATACAGGTAAATCAATACATATCAAGACAAAACTCGGTGTAATAATATTAATAATCTAAATATTGAGTTTTGAGTTTTAACAAATTGATCACAAACTACTACTAAGTATAAGTGTTATATTTTATTTAGTTTTGGAACGAACTACTAAAACCATTGATTTTACAGTGATTGGATTACCATTTGATATTATTTAAGTTGTTTTATCACATTGTGGTGTATTCTTATTGAGTAAAGTTAGACATACTTCAATAGTAAATTATAAAATCCTTGACTCAGCCCCTTTCGAGCCCTGGACTGTAGACATTTCAATAACGCACTTTTATCATAAATAGGAAATTATCATCAATATTTGTTTCTTCAATGTTTTTTTTACATTTTAACAAAATTGGGCAAGTTAATGAAGATGATTAACTGTGACAAGTTTAGTTAATTAAATTAAATTGCCTCCCGATAAAAGTTAAAAGTAAACGAAGAAAAATTTAACTTCATAAATTTAAAGTTAAGGTGGAAAATAAAATGTATTTTACTGTGTTAAAAAAAAGTTCATTATCGAGCCTACAATATTTTCAAGTCATTAAGTACCGTAGACAGTAGTATTTTGATTTACACAAACATTTACCCAGACATCAATACCATGCAAAGATCAAATTATTATGATATATTATTAAAAAATAAATAGCCAAAACCGAAAAAGAGTCAACGAATTAGTATTGTCCAAGTGATACAAAAATAAAATAAAATAAATTTAACCGCACGATAATAATGAGTAACTATAAAAAGTTAACTTACAACAATAACAATTTTAACTACATAAGTTAACAAATAAAAAAATTAATATAATCAACTACTAGTTAAGTTAATAAGTTCTAAAAAAATTAACTTTTTAACTTAACCTAACTTTTTGACAATTTGATACACACCTTTGAATTTTAAAATATAATTAATTCCTTTATCCATGTTGACTAGCTACCTCTACTGACATAATCTATCATTGACGACCTAATTCGAGCCCATCCATTTACCTACTTCAAATTCATCAGGACTTTAAAACTGAAAAAACGGATTTTAAAAATATGGTTCTTTTAAAAAAATAATTATTTTATTGGTTTATAAATAATAACTTCTGATTTCAAAATATATGTCACGTTTTACGCGTGACATTATAAAATCGCATAACACAACCTAAGTATCTAAGACACACGCCTGGGACCTACCCAATTATTTCATACGATTAAAATAATTATTTGAAATTTAAGTTAAAAAATGCCTTTTTAAAAAGGTTATAATATAGTTCTTCTGAACACCCCCCCCCCCCTAGGCACGCCCTTGGTTACAATACAATACCATACTTTTAACCGACTTCCACCAAGCTTGACTTATTAAATAGGCGATAGGTAAATATTTATAAAATTAGAAACATGTTTACAAACCATCATTCAAAAATATAATACATACAACAACCGCCAACAACAGGTTTAATACTATAGAATAATTTTCTTAATTGGTTAATTTTGCAGTCAAACCGGTGCACAGTGGTATAAAAGAAAATTTTAGAACTGAAAAATTATTGTTTTTTTTATCAATAATTTATATTTACCTACAATATTCTGTGGCTAAATATAGAATTTCAAATGATTTAATTGACATAAAATCGACTAATAAAACAGTTTTTATAATACACATGCATTCTTTGATTGATATTTTCAAACTTTCACTCATTTTTAAATTATTTAATTTTCCAGTAAATACAACGTATTACACGATTTTGGTGCTTAATAGCGTAAATTAAATTTTTTCCCGATAAATACAGATATTTCAAGTAAATAAAAATGAAGTAAAGAACCAATCGTTAACCATAGTTTTTACAAAAATACGTCATATTTATTTTAAGAAATCCATTTTTGAGAATAACTGTTGAAACTGAATACAAAATAAATTTTTTTTAAACGGCTACAAACTACCTTTACAAAAGTTCAAAAACCATGAATACACTTAATAAGTTAACATAATATGGCAAATACTAAAAAAAAATTGTATATTTATCGTTTTAAGTGAGAAAATCAAATAATACAAAAAAGTATGAAAGTTTGAAAATATCAATCAAATGATGTATGTAATACAAACACCTCTATAAGTCGAGTGAATGTTAATTAAATCACTTGAAATTCTATATTTAGCCCTATTCTATAGTTATTCAGGAGAAGGGGCTTCCATAAAAATAAAATGACCACTCTGATTACGAATTTACATGGGTAATTTATACCTATATACCATTATATTATGTATGTATCTGTATCTACATTAAAATATCACTGAGTACAAAGTAATACCATGGAGAAGATATAGTGAGTACTTACCTAAATAGTTCTGTGCTCCAATAAAGGGAATAAATATGGTATTCAGATCTTGCAAATTGTATTTGAATCAGTAACAAAATATTTACGTAATTCATTAGATATATATTTTTTTAACTATTTGATTTTTTTGTTCACAAAAAAAAATGTGTTAAATTTGTTATTTAGATTAGAACTTTCGAAACGTGTCCCATGCTTGGGTATTACCGAAAAACCTCCGGCAACGAGCGATACACAATCGATCACTACTGCAGCTTAATGTATTTCATGCTAGTGGACGACTTGATTTTTCCAAATTTCATTGTTTAGATTTTAATTAAAAAAAAAAAAATTAACTCGAATGGAAAATTTAATATTTAAATGTAAAAACAGAAATTAACTATATACCTACCTAATATATTATATTTAGTGTAAGTATCAGTTACATGTATTGCATGTCTCACTTATATGAGTAAGTGTTAGACCAATATTATACATTTATATTTTACCTACATGTATATCTTAATTAAAATAATTGTATTTAAAATAGGTAGGTACTACAAAAAAACTTACATTTTCTATAAAAATATGATGTACCTAATATTGTTATTTATTTATTTTTAGATTTAAACCTTTTATTATTATAATTTATAATTTATTGTGATTGTGATTTTGATATTTTTTCTTATTTTTATTGAACAATCATAATTTATAGATTATAACTTATAACTTATAAGTATGTTACCGAGATGATAACTCACAATGATTAATCATGAGTACCTACCCAATAATAGCAATTATTGTAATATTGTATACACAATACCTACTCTAGTACCTACACACTACACACATGGCCGATCTTAAGATTTTAAGGCCCTGTGTGAAGATAATTGAGAAGTTTAACATAAATTTGCTGTTGAAAATACCTATCTACTTTTAGATTCTGAGTGGAGCGATGAATGTATTGTTTTAAAAAATTGTTTTCTTTTTACGTAGATGGTGTATACAATGATTTTATAGTAGAAAAAATGTTTTCATTTTTTATTTCAATATCTTTAGGTAGGAAAGTTCAAATTCGTACAAAATTACATATTTAACAAAGAATAACAATTTTAATTATTTTTTTGCAATTCAAAAATATTATTTGTGAGGACTTCAAACTTTTACTTATATTATTATTTTTTGATAGATACATAGTGACTTTTTATAAAACATTTAGATTAATTTTAAGCTACTGTCTACTTATATCATTTATATACCACAAACGTATTTCGTGTATCACAGTTCTACTGATTACCGACTATGGTAAGGCACTAGTTGGTACCTATTGAGTATTGACTTTTTTTATAAAAAATATATACTATTATAATAATTTATATTATTATTAATAATATAACATTTGTAACTAAATAGAAATCAAATTAAATCAATCTACTGTATAATGAATAGTAAAATAAATTACATTAATAACAATATCAAAAATCATATGAAATATACAGTTACTAAGTGTTAATAATTTAGGCTGACAAACTGTCTTCGCTCAAAATTATGTTTTGGGTTTATCATTGAAATTTATTAAATTTAGCACATACATTACAATAACTCATTCAATGATAGTGTATACTCAATACCTGCTGTACCCCTATGGTTACCTATTTTTTCTACTGTTAATATTAATTGATTCAAAATTAACAAACTTTAGACAAATTGTGAATTTTTTGTTTGAATCAGAAAAAATAATGTTGTCCTTACATTACACAAATGCCTAGAATAGACCATATCTCCAAGAATCATATTATTATGGTTACCTATAAGAAGTGCATGGAACAAAATAAGGCATATGACAGATGATCTAGGAATTTCTACGTGTTAAAGACTATATCTCTAAGGATAGTTCTGAATACAGTACGCATACAAAATAAAATAAATAAATTGTACCTATTAAAAACTTTAAATAGTAATAACTTGATAATTTTTTTTAGATACTAAGTTTAAATACGCCTAGAACAAATGGAATGTATATTATTTTATAATAAATTAACAAATTAAAACATAAATAATTACTTTAATTTAAGGAATTAAAAAATATAATACAGTAAAATATTAATAAATGTTCTCAATTAAACATCAGCAGTCTTGCATACTTTTTTACAATACTTATAATTTAAACTTTTATAAAAAAATATGACAACTGTAAGCCACTTCAGACAATATTGACTAAATATTTGATAGGTATGCATTAAGAAGTTTTTAACATTGCATCTGTAAAAAATATACAGGTATTTATGGAATTGCTGACAAATTTGAAATACTTTAACTAATTTTCACAAACTACCACATTAAAAAAAATAGCTAACCGTCCATGTAAACTTTTTATACATAAATATTAATTTATTACAATGATTATTATTTTCACAATATAAATCGATTCGGTGATACTTATATTTTTGTAAGTATCTTTACAAAAATGGGAAAAATGTTTATGTTTAAACTAATTAAGTACTTAACATTTCTTTAAGGTGATAAATCTCAACTGTAGGTATACATCTTTATTAGCGTTAGACATATTTATTTTTAATGCAGCAGAAACACTAACCAGATTAAGTTTAGTTGTAATTCTCCATTTATGCACACACAAAAAACACAAACCATTAAAGTGTCATAATAATAACCGCTGATTGATTGTAACATCAGCTAGAATATAAATACCAATAAATGTAAACCTATATAGGTAAAACAACAATAGGAATAAAAATATATTCTTTTGGAAATAAGGTTTATTTTTTAAAATATCAGTACAAGACACTTGTAACTCTGTTACTACTTACTTTCATTCGAACCCAGTATAGTCATAGAATATTGACTATAGAACCGATAGTTGATTAATGCAACATCTATATTATATAAGGTTGATTCTGATAAGAAAACAAAATTCAATTTGTCTTTGTATAAAAGTACTGTTATACATTACTCATTATTTAGATGTTTAGGACAATTTTAAGTCACACTCTGACCAGATTTTCTAGCTGTTTATACATTTTCACCGAATACCCATTTTGTTCCAATATCGGATAATTCTTAAGTAGGTAATTCTATTATTTTTTTTTTAATATCAAATATCAACAAATAATAGATGTATAACATATCAAAAACTTATTCAATTTTTTTAACCAAATATAATATTTTATATTTTATTTGCCTTAAAAAGGTTTTGTTTATTATGATTTTTGTTATTAATCTTGAAATGGAGTTTACTATAATTATAAAAATATTAAAAACTTATGTATATTGTACAATGTTAAACAAATGTATTTGTGAGCTCCTACAATTTGATTTTGTTCTTACAACTCATACAATGATCCTGCTTTTCCAAGAAATATATTAGAAAATTATACTTAAATAACATTAATTTACATAAATATATTTACATTACAATAACATTAACTTAACATGATATTTATATGTAAAAAAAAATGATAGAATATGCTTAAGGTTAAATATATATTAGATTTTGAGTTGGGATGGTAATACCATAAATTATTGAAATAAACCCTGTAAATTACATTTTAATAGGACAATTGCTATAAGATGATAATAATTCTGTAAGACACACTTTAAAGATGAACAAGGATTATTGAGGATAAGAACAAATTTATATCACAGACAAAAATATGGTATTTTCCTAAGCTTTCAGCATCCAGAAATGACAAATCTCATTACAGCATCATCTGATAGAGAAATTGTACTCAGAAAATGCTGATACTTGAGAAATAACTAATTAAGGAAAGAAAAATGACATGATACTATAAAGTTTACAATGAGAAAAAAAATGTACCTATAGTTAATCATATCGAGTTTTCTACATAGGTCGTATTGACCCAAGTTAGTTTTACCTAACTGTCAGCCTTTCGATCGTCCATTTGTCAGCCCAGACGTTTGTCCAACAAGACTGTCGCGTATGAGCTGCAGCAGAGACAAGATGCGACTGATGGAGTCCAACAGTCTCTCATGCAGTTCAACACACTCTCTGATGGTGGGCAGTATGCTGTGGACAGTCCGGGCAAACTCAGTCACTCTGTTGAACACACTCTCCAGCAGCCGAAGCCGGTTCATATCATTTGACATGACGACTGATGAGGAGTCTGCGTAAACGGACAATGGGGGCCAGAGTCACAGCTGGTGGTCGTTACTTTCAGTTGTTGGATGCGCAAGGATAATGTCGATCAGTGGTTTGTGCTTGTATGACGTATACTATTAAATATCATTAGGTACAGGGTTTTTGGTCAAATCACAATCATACCCTTCTTCACTTGTATCCTATAATCCAAGTAACAAATTGTGTAAATACCACATATTATGTTTAAAAAAAAAATGATTTATTATTTTATTTATTTACAAACCAGTGAATACAGAATAGCGATGCTTCACTAAATGATAGTTAATGTCGAATTGTCGAAGCACAAATATCAGTCTATAAATATGGGTAGTACACAAGTATAGAGTATAATTTCTGACTTTCTGCGTCGAAGAGGATTTTTTCTATCAGACCTCCTGGCTTCTAGTAGTTCTACACTTCTATAGTCCTGCGCGTATCAACAATTGAGGAATACCCTATAACGGTAATATTATAACCCAAAAAGCATATTATTATATTATTATGAAAACAAAATGATTAATTATAAAACTACCAATATTACTAGCAATTCTAATTGATAAAAATATAAAATGTAAAATGCATGTTTTTGTGAAGGTAACAAAAGCAAAGGGTTTGCTCTTTGCTGACTGTTTACCACGATCCAAGATTATAAGGTATATTATCTTAAATCATGCTGTTTACTGATACCACCCTGATACGGTATATCATGGAGGCATATGAAAGGATTAGGTTTAAATCATATCCGTGTATGTTTTCAAGTTTCTCACAGATATATATGATATATACTATATATACTATATATATTATATATATCTGTGTGATTTCTTTACCACAAAAATAATAAAAATTGATTTTAAAATGTAAAAACATATTAGGTAATATAAAAATTACTTAGGATTGACAGTAAAGGGTTCTTATAAGGTTTTCAATTTTTATAAACGATTTTAGATGTATAAAAAATGCATAAAATCAATACTTGGTAGTTAATTTCAATTTAAAATATGGTTTTGTATTTAAAATTCTATTGTCTTAATAGGTATCCTTTCCACTCCTCATTAGTCATTTCACATTGTAATAAATCTAATTTTTCTCGCATATTTACTAAGACCAAAACAGAGATATAATTATGTTTTTATTTGTATTTAAACTTTTTGGTTTGTAATTCAAAATTGACTATAGTCCCAGCTTGAAACACAATATTATTTTGAATTAAACATATTTTTATTTAATTCATGAAATGCATTAACATGTAGGTAAGAGCCCGTGGACCTCTTCGAATTAAATTATTTGCAACCATAACAATTTCTTTAATTTTTAAATATTTTTTTAAATAAATTCAAGCAATGAGGACTTATCTGATCATATTCTTTTCATTTACTTTCATTGATATAACTGTTTGATTCATCAATATAAATAATTTGGACAATGATCCAAGTATAATAAATACTGCATCTAACATAACTTAAGTTATAACTCAGAAACTACTCTTAAGAATTTTGATTTAAGTGCATCTACATTTTCAAAAAAATCATCCTAGGTATAAAAATACTCCCTAAGTAGTATAAAAAATATCGGAAATTTGTAAATATGGTCTTTAGGTCAACTTAAAAATTCTAAAACCAGAATTTGAATAAATGTACTATAATTAATGGGAAAAATGGGGTGAGCATGCTTTAAGAACCATCCTGTATAGACTTTTTAAACTTTGATAACCTGATGTCTTCTATTTCTGTAAAACTTTTACGAACAAATAATAAATTGTGAATAGTTTTTTTGGGGTTTCAAAATGTATAGATTAAAGACTAGTTTTTATCGTGTTTCTACTGTATTAGGTACTTTTTTTTGCTTTTTGAATTTGAAATGCATTTGCCTGTGGGCGCCCGTGTCCCCCATCCCATTTTTCTTATTAATTCAGCTCTAGTTGATTTTTTTGTATGTATTTTTTTTAAATATTTTCATTTTATCTTCTTAAAATACGTTAACCTGTGGGCGCTAGTGTTCCTCTCCACCATTTTTTTTGGCTCTATTTTATTATTTTAAACTTTGAAAAGATAATTAAATAATTAGCCCTTTAAATAATTATTATTTAATGAATTAATTATTCTGAATAGGTAGTTTTTCGGTTTAAGAATCTGGAGATTGTAGACTGTAATCTTATTAGTGTATTTTTTTTTGCTTTTTAAAACGCATTTGTCTGTGGCTGGCCTTGTTCCTCTCCCCATTTTTTTAAATTTATTCAAATATAAATATATTAAACTTTGACAAGATATCTCTAGGAGACCAATGAATAACCGTTCTCAAATTTTCTTTTTGTAGGTACCTACCTACACTATATAATTTTATCTGAATTTAACTTAAGCTGATTTTTACATAATAGACACATATTTTAAACTTTGTCCAGCTTTCTCAAGAATTTCTGATCGTTAATTATTGTAGGTAGTATTTTGGAATTGAGAATTTGGAGGCAACAGCTAGGTACACTATCATAAGTATCTCCTTTAGCTATATTTTTTTTTATATTTTTTTTTCTAAAACGCGAGTGTTAACATCATCTCTTTACAATTTTTATTTTTATCCAGCTAGTTGATTTTTGATTCTGAGTAGAGCCTGAATGTATTGATTTTACAACGATGGTTTTTATTTTTTATTTTTAATTATGGTCCAATAGTTTTCGAAAGCAACAGGAAAAACAAAAAAAAATTAAGGAAAAGCTGAGATTTTTACGCAAAACAGGTTTTTGAAAAGTCTTTTTTTTTGTGTAACTCAACTAAAAGCCAACCTTTTATAAATACAATATTTACTGGCTATTTATATAGACAATTTCTATGCACCTTAATATTTTCGAAATATTGTGACACTTTTTAAGCAATTTATATAATAATAATACAAATTTGAGTTTTATTAGTTTTTATTATATTATTGTCAATTCAAAATTTATTTCTCGATTAAAAAACTTGAAAATGTAATACAACGTTCTTCATAAGTTGTTGTTGGTGGAAATTAAAAAAAAAAATTGAGCTTGAATCCACAATAACATTTTATGAGCATCTAAAGTTAAATTTTGACAAAATTCATTTAAATCACGTAAATTGACAAATTATTTCGAGTTAGGAATTCATAAAAAAATTCTGTTTCTATTTATGCTTTGCTAATTTAATATATGATTTCCATTGAGTTTTCTTATATTTAACAAAAAAAGTTTACTAGAAAGTCAAATTAATTTTTTCGAACGTTTCGAATGTTGTGTTTATGACGCCGACGGTTACCCGTAAATTAACAAATTCTCATTAAACGATTTTCTTACCTATTTGATTGTTTTTAAAAAACTAATAATCATTGGTAATTAATATTTTCATTATTTGTTAATTCTGTAATTTTCTATAGGTACATCATTTAATTTTCAAAATATTTTTACTCTTTATGTTATTTATAATCTACACATTTAATATTTTATTTGTTGGGTCAAAAAGGTTTGAAAATGTAAAACAAGTGTCCTAATATATTGTTACAATAGCAGTTGAAAAATACATGGGTACAATTTTTTTTTATGTAATCATTCATGGTTTAAATTTTGCTAACATTTATTAAAAATTCAGTTCACAAATTATTTAGTAATTAAAATGTATAGAACTTTTATAGCTTTGGATTGAAAATTTAAAACAATGTTGCACGTAAATAGTTAATTCTGACACCAAAAAATCAAAAAAATATATATAAATACAGTTTTTTTTTTTACCTTTACCTATTTTAAGTTTAAATTTGGACGAAATTACATATTGAAACCAAGAATAACGATCTTAGTTATTTGGTTGTAATTTTAAAATATTATTCGTGCGTATTGAAACTTTCAGACTAGGTATATTACTATATTTTACACACAAACTGATATTTAAAAATGCAAGTTTTTCGAAAAAAATTTATTTAACTTACTATATTAGTAACCTACCTACTAATTGCTATTACCTACATAGTACTATAGTAGGTATAGTAAAATAAAAATGTAATCACAATAATATCATCAAATATACTTATATAGGTATGTACTTACTACTTAGTAGTATTATAAGCTGACATGCTGACAGACTGTCTTCGCTCAGAATCATTTCATTTTACATCATTGAATTCATCCATTACAGCGACTATCTAGACACCTAATGTACAGCAGACCGTTACCCTCCTTTTCTTTTTTTCTTCTTAAATTGCGTTTGTATAAGGCTAATTTATTATACTAAAATTAACATATTATTTAATCAAAAATGATAGCTGGTTAATTATAAAAATATTTTTACACCTTAACAAAATTATTTTCCCAATTAAATATGTTTGAATTAAATCACTTTAAAGTTTACATAAATATGTTTGTGACGCCATGAGTTTCTTTATTAATTGAAAAATGTTTAGAGTTATAAATACCTAAGAATTATACATGTGCTTTCTAATTGCCGATTTGTAGATGCAGTTATCACTGTAAAATTTGAAGTAGACACAGAGCTTTTTGAAAACAAATATTTTGCTGTTAATTATTCACTTATACATAGTAAAACGTTTTAATGTGTTCATATAAATATGAATCCAATATTCCAATATATTATTCATGATTAGAATGTGGTAGGATGAAATATAATTTTTTGTGGTCAATTTTACGATACCACTAGAGCTTCACCAGTATATCTAATATCTTTCTTTTTATGATTAATACTTATGTTTCTGAACAGAAATATTGTCCAAATACAATGATAGCATAAAATAATAGTATTATCTCAACATTGGAGTAAGAATCTAAATTGGGAGAACTGTTAGGTTGATTTCTAATTTGGACTATTGGTTATTGGAAGGTATATGAAATTCCAATATTATATTTATTTAATTCTTCAGTTGTGGTAAGGACAACATAGTTATTAATACAGTTGTACCAAAATATTATATTTTAAAAAATGTATTGTTTTAATTAAGTATTATTTTTACTCTTTTTTATAAAAACATCACATACCAGACTCACCTAGATGTAAGAAATCAAAGTATAGAAAAATAGCAATCATAAGTTTTGAAATTTTGTATTAAATATTTAAATACTACTGGGTGGTCTGAACTCTGTTTACGGAATAACAAACAAGTATCTACCCAACCATTTTTTTTTTTATAAAATATTTATATTATTGCTTAACTATAAAATATAATTATTAATCAATTACCTAAATATTTAAATATTTAAGGATACATAGAAGGTAAATTAAATTTTTTTTATTATTTTAATGGTAAAATTACAATTAGCTATTTAAAACAGCAATTTCAATACCAATGGAAAAAAAACAATAATAAAATAAATATATTATATACACATATTATATCATATATATATAATATATAATATGTATATATATTGTAATATTATTTATTGCGCTAATTTTTCTTTTGTACAAAGTTATTACTCATACGCAATTAAAAAGTACAATATTATTTTCAACAATAAAATAAATCATAGAATAGAAAAAAAAAGTTAACAAAATTTTTCCTAAACTCCAGAATCTACTATTTTTTAAAAACTTTTTTTCTTAAGTTAATTTAAATAATAAGTAATTGAAACAATAAAATAAACACAAATAAAAAAAAAGAAACAGAAAACAATTCAACTAGGTTACAAATAATAAAGAAAATAGGTATAAACATAAAGCAATACATAATTGTATGTATAATTAACATATTTTTTTATGTATAAAAAACTCAACAAAGTAGTAATATTTAATTATAATGTATTACATTTTTTTTTTAGGTTATATATTACTATTATGCATAGTATATATATATATATATATTCATACATACATACATACATACTTACAAACATACATACATACATACAGATACACACATAATGTAACATAATGAAAAGAACGACTAATTTTACAATAATGGTTTCAACTGACTCTCGTACGATGATGTTTTAAATTGGCAGACCCTCACACTAAATCTATGTACAAAAAAAAAATAATAATAATAACGTAAATAAACAACATTTTAAAAAAGTCCTAGTTTTAATATCACCCTCTGAAGAAAAACACTGGTTAACTTATGAAAATTAAAAATCAAAACCTACATTTAATAATTGTACATGTTTTTTTTTAGTTTAACAAGAATTGATAATAACAGAGGATGGAGAGAGGAAGGAAGTATAAGCAAGCAGCACCAAACAAAAAAAAAATTAAATGTAAATAAATAAATATAAACTAAATATTGGTACATGTTCATGTTGCACAATTAATATTGATAATAAGCACAGGAAATGTATGTCCCAACTCTTAATAATGCTTTTCTGTTATGTTAACAAATTGTTGTTCTTTTAAAAATGCATATATTATCCCAGAGCAAAAAAATATATAATAACTTATAAATAAGACTTATAACAAGAAACAAATAATACATAATTTAAAGAAACTAGTAAGTTACAAACATAATATAATAATTAGTTATATTTGTCTATACACGTAATTACATAAGATTTGGAAATTTTACCATTGGATTTACTGGTATAACATTCATAACGGTAATATTAAAAATTAATTTATATATATTTAAATGATAAATATATACTTTCAATTGTGCGATTTTTTTTTTTGTAATGGAACGTTGCAAATATTATATAGTTAAAAAAAGTTATATTAATGCATACAATTATTTACATCATTGAATTTGGACATTCAACTGTAGTAAACAGGCTTGAACTAGGTATCCATTTTAATACAAATAATATAATCATTAGGTTAGGACATTATTGTACCTGGTAAATAATAGTTAACAATAATATAACCATTGACAATGTAATTTTACATACTATAATATTACTATATGTTAGAAAAATGTATCACCAATTTTAAAAGCAAAAAAAACAAATGTATTTATTGGTGAATATATTTTATAATATTCATTGTACTAGACATTGAACAACATAATGAAACAAATATTAAATTAAAAGTTTTATAATTGTATAGGATTTAAGTTTAATTGTTAATTTTTTTAACTACTTCTGCTAATAAATTATCTAAAATTGTGACTAGGCAAACATAGGTACCTATACATCTTCAAAGGTCCTAATATCTAGATATGTATTCTTTTTGCAAAAACCTTATTTGGCTGCTTGTAAAAGAACGCTCACCACAAGGAATCAATCTTAATTACATACTACTGAAATGTTTAGGTTTGTTGAAATGATTTTGGATTTGATAACCTGTGATTCTGAAAATCGAATTAAGAAAAATATGAATTAATTTCCAAAAACTATATTATAATTTATGAATTGTATCTTTAAATGTTTATGATAGATTTTAGTAATAAATAATTGTAATAACTACACATTATTAAAAACCAATTTTTACTTAAATTTAAAGAAACTATATGTATAATAAAGATAATTACAAGTTAAAATTGAAAAAATCAAATTGTTAAATAAGATACGCTGCACAAAGTTACAGTTGTATTAATAACTGATATTGATAATAAAATACAAGACTAACAATTTCGACATGAACAAAAAAAACAAATGTTACAAAATATCCTCAAAAATCCTTTAGCGGGTATAAATTAAAAGGAATTAATAAAATACTCAGGAAATATCAGTATGCACTATTAAGGTTCTTAACTAAAACAACTGTTGATTGTATTAAATTATAATACATATTAATTATTGTGTATGAGAAAATATGAGAATGAGGTAAATAATATTTAGGTTTAACTGTGATTACAATAAAACAAAACAAATTAAATTTACTTAATTGATTTCAATTGTTTATAGTGAATTTATAATATTATAAATCCAATTAACAATTAATTATTATTATTTCCCTATTTTAATAAGTTTATTCCTCTCAATGTGTAAACCAATTCTTAAAATAAAAAAAATAAAAGAATTTATAGTTTATATATTTATAATGTTTATAACATTATTGTTTTTTTATTAGATTATATGATTTATTTGTTTAAATAAACCTCAATGATGCTCCAAAAAAACAAAATACTAATATTTAAACAATTGCAATTATTTAGAATTATAGTTTAAGTTAATTAAATTAGAATTGATTAGTTTAAATAAAAAAATAATGATTTTGAGAAAAATTGTCACAATTAAATGGTTCTGTAATTCAAAGTATGAAACTAGTTATAAACTGAACATGTATTATGTTTATTGTAAACTAAAAAAATATTCAAATATCTATGATTTAAAAAAGATATGCAATTTTGTATGTTAGGAAGACCTAGATAACTTAGTTTATTATTATTATTTATTTTTCTTAAGCATCAGTTTGAGAATTAGCATACACTTATTCTTAATCTAAATTTTTTTAATAAATTGACATTCTTTGTTTATCTGGTTATTACTGTTTAGATTATCAAATATATTTTTACATTTTATCATGAATATCTATTTTATCATGATTTTATTGCAATTATTGGGTTACTTATTCTATAATTATTTGTAATGTATATTGTTTTAGGAATATATTAGTATATAAACAATTTGAATTAATATTTGATTTATCAATTGTTTCGATATATAAGTTATCTGTAGTGATTTGAACCATTCAGTTGCTATTTATTTTTTGTTCCAGAAAATATTTTTAGGATATATTTGAAAAGACTAGAACAAAGAAATCAAACATTTATAAACAAAAAAGTGAAAAAATCTTGAAAAGTTGTACAATTTAAAGTTGTAGCCGCATCAGTTTCTACTTTAACTCTTAGTACTTAGTAAAATATTTATGTTTTTTTGGAAAATCTATGCATTCTTACATATGCATACATATAAAATTCATCTAAATTGTATTATAAATGCGTAGAAAGTTAAATGTAATAATCTGTTACCACTGCTATAAATACAGCAAACAGTCAATATATTTTATTTAAATTATAATATTGTTATGTGATATTTTTAAATCTTGTACATCAGATACAAGCTAAGATCTATATGATATAGTTATATTATAACAAATTGATTCATTGTATGTATGAATGGATAATTTGACAAGCTATACAATTTATAAGTCACTGATCAGAATATTGCAAATATTTTCCAATATATTTATTTCCTTGTACTACCCTGGTTAAAGAAGCAATGAATTGACCTCAGCAAATCGCCTCTGGTCGTTTGACTTTTTAGGGACATATTTTCAGTTGATTACTTCCTGTATTTAGTCTCCTTATTCTAGTCTTCATAGATATATTAAAAATTATAAACATATAATCTGTGATATAAATGTTTATATTATTGTATATTGTTATCAAAAAACACAAGTATATAGTAACTAATACAATATAATATGTAGTAAATTATTTTAAAACATAATAATATATTGTTTTTGTACACATAAAATTGTTTCATTTTATTTTATAATATACTCCTATGTTATGTCAATTTTAAAAATGTTATCTGTTTAAATTCATACATAATTATTTTTTTTCTTCATAAGACTAATTGTATTATTTCCTAACATTAAATTATGTTTTATTATTAATTTTCAATTTTTATTTCACAATTTGTTCATAAATATCAAAAATTGGAGCATGTGACGATGAAACAAAAAGATATGATTCACAGAATTAAGATATTGTTTTCTCGAAGGAACATTTAATTAATTTTCAAAAATCGTTAATTTTTTTTTTCATGTTTAATGTTATGAAAAGTCTTATTTTTATGGATTTTTAGAGAACAATTATACAATTAAATAAAAACGCATTAATAATTTACGTGAAATAATAAATCAAACGAGATATTTATTAACAAATATAACAATAATAAATTTATTTTCTAATAGTCTTTGGTATGTCAGATATAATTAAAGATGTGAATAGTTTAACTTAGAAAAATGAAAAAAAAACAATAAAAATAAAATAAATAGGACATTCATATTCTGAGAATTTAATAATTTACCTTTTCACTAAAAATAAAAAGTGAATTATGACTCGGAATAATCAATACTGACAAAAAAAATTGATGTATCAGAAATTTGTTGACCAAAGAGAAAATTAATTTATATTACTACAAATAATGATTTAAAAAATCAAAGTATCCATATAAACTATGAATAAGTATTTGTACAGAGCAGTAATTATTTATTTTAAAATCATAATTTATAACTATATAAATCAATCGTATTTATCATAGTAATTAAACATAATAAATATATTGTTAAATTAATAAGTTGGTACCTAATAAAAAAAACCGGTTGGTATCCGATTATTCAAACATGAATTAATAAATAATAAAAAAAAATAATAATAATGAATATTATGTTCAATAAAGTGATGTTTGATAACCCAAATAAATGGTATCTTAAAACAGTTGAATTACTTACTCAAAATTGCTGCAGAATAATTAAGAGACCTGTGTATGTATATGTGAGTGGGTAAGGGAGAGATCATAGCAACTCGTACTGGCGCAGGTGCATCCTCTGTATGATGTCGCGACAGTCATTGAAAACACGTCTGATGTTCTCAGTGTCCACAGCGCAGGTGAAATGTGGATAACAATAATGTTTACCCTCGCCACTGGCAGTACTGATGCGCTATAAACCAGTAAAAAATAAATATTATAACACTTATTGTTATACCATAAGAATAAACAATACTATTGATATAAATTACATACAAGGAACTCATCTCGGATGAAATATTTGGCGCGAATAACTGGAGGATCTTCTCCTGGATCAGGAGTAGCATCCATTGGCGTTTGGTAACGGGTGAATTCGGCAAAATAATCTTCTAGCCGAGATTTACCAGCCTTGATTTTTTCTGCTAGTAAGTCTTGTTTATTCAGAAACAATATTACTGATATCGTTCTCAACCATCTTTTGAAAAATAAGATAAAATGTAAAACTCAATAGTAATAAAATAAAAACAAAATACCTGTTGTTCCATATGCTTCTGAATAAGTCTAATGACTCACGGAGTCGATTTTGAGTGGGATCCTCCCTAAGGACCATATTGTAACTACTACAAGCAGTCACAAATATGATGGCAGTGACATCATTAAAACACTGTATCCACTTACGCCTTTCATCTCTTTGGCCTCCCACATCAAACATACTGAAAAAAAATACATTTTAAAAGTAACTATTAATAGGTTGGAATACTTAATTAGTTTTAAATGGTATACTTACTGAAAATTAACTTTTTCAACTTGAAATCGTGTTTCAAATATACCAGAAGTCAAAACACGGCACCTAAGTATGTCCTAAAAATAATTTATCAAAATATAATAACACACTAAAAAAATTAAATTCAAGTGGATATTTATTTGATTACCTATCTGCTTTTTAACTATCACACAAAAATAATTTTGGAAGGAATTTATATATATATATATATATATATATATTGTTATCATAAACCTATCATAGATCACATAGGGAAATTTATTACTTTAGGCATATTTTTTTTGTTTTGTACTTATGAGAATAGTTAAAAATATAAGTGGATATTTGTCTGTTTTATTAGCAGCTTTAAATAACACATCTAAGTATAGTTGGACATTTTCTAGTTTCTTATTTTTGTATGTTGTTGATTATCTAAGACATAACAATTATGGATACCAACACAATATATGATAATTAATTAAATTGTGTGCATAATTAATGCAATATTTTTGTACTTAGTTTATAAAAGCAGATTCAATTTTTATTTAAAAGAGAACAATTATATTTAAAATAATCTTTAAAATATTTCAAAGTTGTATTTAAAATAGTATTTGATACAAAAAAAGTATTTGAATACTTTTTTATAACATTTCTACTCAAATACTTTACAACACAAAAATATATGCATTTTGTATGCATTTATTAATGTTTAGTACAACTTAATAGTTTTTCATAATTAATATTTATTTAGCAATGATAAAGTATTTGACATACCAAGTCATTGAGTAGTCACCAGAGATCAACCACATTTTTATTAACAAAACATTATTTTATTTTATTATCTATTAACTTTGAATCATACCTAACCTGAAATAATTTTTCTTGTAGTTACAATAGCTGTACATAATAAAACAAAAACATATGCACTTAAGTAGTTGTGAACAATTTTTTTAGATTGTAAAATTAAACATTATATTATTTTTAATAAAATATTAATAAGCAATTTTTTTTGAGATCGTAAGGTTGTTTGACAAAATTGTTTTACTTCAACCTTGTTAAAATGATAAGTTATAAGTCTATATACTCATATCAGTGTTTGTACTACCACATTAAAAGTCAATAAGTCATAATATTTGGTTTACTTAAATCTATATATTTATAATTTTTAACTATCAAAATATATTAATTGATTGATTCCACACAATAGCTTTCATTATACTACTATTTAGTTTGTAAACGTGATAAGATTATGATTGGTAAGTCAAATTTTAAATTAGACAAATTACATGGTAGGATATACCTTATCAATGCCATTAATTAAGCACGAATCAATATTTAAAAAATGATGTGTAACAAAACACATGCATGCAGAAATATAATTAAGTAAGAATATTATTTTTAATTACTTGTTCTGAAGGGGTATAATTTAGTTGCTTGATAATGTGTACTTGATCGAGGAAACTGAAATAAAAATGAATATATTTAATTAATCATACAAAGAAAGCTTATTTATTTTGTTTCTAATTTAAAATAAATACTTGATTAGACTTATATTACTATTGTAAGATTTTTCTAAGACCTATTTAGCCTAAACTAAATGTATTGTATACAACAAAAACCTATTATTATTTAAATATAGTTTATATTGTTATATTAGGACAAAAAATAACACATTTTAAATTGTATGATAACTAATAACTTACTAATAATCAAGAAATAATAATCAAAGAGAAAACATATGTTTAACATGGATTTATATTTGAAAAATAGTAAATTAAACTTTCATAAATGCAAACATAGTACCTGATAATTGCTTTATATTGAGAATGTAAAACAAATAATTTAGTTAGTGTAAACTGTCTTTACAACTAAACAAAAAAATAATAATAATAATAACCAAACAGAAAATTTAAATATTACTTTTTTTAAATAAAAGAGGGACACTATTATGATTTGTTCTGTTAAACAAATGACAAACATAAATGTTTTTATGTTAAATGTCTTTCTTTCATTACATATGCAGTTTTGATCAATACATAATATAGGCACGTTAAGATTATATTTTGAAAATATTGAAGTGAAGTACTTACTATTTAGCACAGTCAATGAGTTGATATTCATTAGATCTATCAAAACAAGACTGAACACCTCTATCTTTCCACAGTATTTCTGTGTGTTCATAAAACTCCTAGAATAAAACAGTATTTAGAAAAAATAAGAATATAAGTTATTTTACAAGAGTTATTAGAACTATAACTCACCGTTGTATATTCAAAGTTATGTTGGGAGGCGACATCTTGCATATAATCGACCCTAAACTGATTTTCTGGGTGTTCTAATTGTACTGGTGGGGTGAGTGTGCTCATGGCACCTGTAATTGTCTATAAAACAATACATATATAATGTTTAATTACAAAACTATTGCATTATAACAATAACTTACCAATATGGCATCTCTAATGTTTTTTTTAATATCTTCAATTTTTTGTTTTTTTTCTCTATAATATAAAATTGAAATATATTGATTTGAAAATCAAAAAGTAACATTATAATACATACTCTTCACTAAATCCATTTACGTGCAATATTCGCATTTGTTTAACAATTGTGCTTTTACCAGATTCTCCAGCTCCTGCAAAAATTTGAAATTTTTTTAATTTCTTTAGGGAATTTACCATACATTTTGATAGTGATTGTAATTAACAATTTTATTTATTTAAGTATAAAAATAACTTATCTTAGAGGTACCCAAGGATATATATTGACAATAAATTCTATTAAGACATGGTTTGAGTAACACACTATTGTTTCATTAACTATCTTAATTTATTATTTCAGTATTTAATATTTTACCATTTTTCAACTTCTATGTGATACTACTGAAATAATAGAATATTCTTGAAAACAAAATATTCTCATTATTGTCGGACGTGACAATAATACTTTTGTCAATTAGGAATCAGTGTTAAAGGTTTGAAAGGAATTCTCTTTATTTGAACAATCTGTTTAGCTATTCTGAGCATTAGTCTTTCTTTAATTCATTAAAACTTATGTTATTGTTAACCATACCTAAACTCTTTTTGGGTACATACATCACCTAGATAGGTGGTATGCTAGGTATACCTACCTATTCTTTAGAAAAAAAGACACATTCATATGAATAAATATTGATGTATAACAAGACAATCTGTTAATAGTGCCAACATACACATTTTCAGAGAATGTTTAATGTAAAAAAAAATGTAAAAACATCAAAATAAATGTAATGTTACGCTTAGAACATTTTTATATAAATGTGCATAGAATTGTGTATTTTTCTGGTAGATGTTATGAGAAAAATATAAATTTAAAACTAACCAAGACACAACATTTGGCATGTATTCAAGTTTATATTTTTAATCGATTATATTATACACTATCATGTTTAGTTTATTAACATAGTTATACTGTCGTCTGTCACATGTAAATACTCTAATCGGGTAAAAAAAAGATCTATATATATAGCAGAAAAATAGAAAATAAAACAGGTATACTGATGATATACATTACTTGTAGGTAAATATGAGTATCATGGCAAGTTGAGATTACTATCAATAAAGCTATATTTTTTAGTTTTAACTACTTTCAAGGACACCAATGTTTTAAGAGTATACCTAGCTAATCATATACTCAAAAATCCATAAAATTGGATACATTTACAACATAAAGTTCAAATCAAGTATCCAAAATACAAATATTGATCAAGTTATCATATTATATATAATAAAAATAACTGCCCACCACAATCAAGTTAGATGAACCACTGATATCTATGACCTAGTCTTTCAGGAAGATTTTTTAAGTACAAAGCATTCTCAATTTAAACTCAAAGTACATAATATATGTTATAAACAAGGTTATAAATAAACATCACTGCAAAAACATATATAACATGGTAATTATATCACAGATTACTTGAAAATTGTAAGACTCAAAATAGAGCTCCAGAGACTGACTAAGAGACCACTCAATATCAATTATCAACAAGCAAGAATGATAATGCATTTAATTTACATTATTATATTAGAATAAGCGGTAAGGTGTTTTAGAGATGAGAATTCAAGCAGAAAACCAATGAGGCAACACACAGAAATCGCTGATATCTTGAGACGTATAAGTTGAGCACATTGAGCTAACATTTTGGGAGGCACTAGTAGTAATTGCACTGTGCACAGTCCAATAGCCAACAGTCGCCAGATGATTCTTCCAAAATTTGGCGATGTCCAAAATCTAGCAAGACTTCTGCAGGGCTGTGGCGTTTGTACATGGAAAGCCCCCCCGAAAACCAAAATTTAAGGGTGGTTATGATTGAAGATCGTAAGAGGGGAGGGGGCGCGGCGACAGGGCTGACTAGCGGCGTATGACCAACAAGAGTGAAATGTAAGAAGGGAAAAATTTAAAATTTAAAAAAAAATACACTCTCACTCACCCAACAACAGTAATCTGTGTGTGGCCCTGTACACCTGTTTGTCCTTTTGCAGCTGCTGGTTTATCTTTTTGTTCGTCTCCTTGCCCTTTTTCGCATCGTCGTGGTCCGTCTTGGCCGCGGCGCTTCCAAAACACCCCATAACATTAGGCCAGCCTATTTTTGTGGCTTTCCGGCGGGAGGGCGGCTGCGGCTGCTGCTGCGGCGACGGCGGCGACGGCGGGGCGGAGGCCAGCACTAGGCTACGGCTCGTTTAGAGGCGACACCGGTTTTATTGTTATTGTTGTTACTCGTTCGCACCACCACGAAAACAATAACGACGGGGCGACGACGACGACGGCGACGGCGACGACGACGACGACGACGACGGCGGCGGCGGTGACAACGACGACGACGGCGGCTGCGGCGGCGGCAGCGGCGGCGGCGGCGACGACGACACCACTATACGCGGCGGCTGCGGTGGCGGGCAGTGGTGGCGGCGGACGATACACACGGGCCGCGTGTGTGTGTGTGTGTGTGTGTGTGTGTGTGTGTGTGTGTGTGTATGTGTTTGACAGTACTGTTGGTGGTGGGGTGGTAGCGGTGGCGGCACACGGTGCCCGAGAATTGTGGACGGGTGGCGAAGTGGCGCGTAGTGCCCAAAAACGCGCGCGCGGTGCTGTTATCTATATATCACCGTTCGCACTCACACACTCGCACACCCACACACACACTCGGTGGTACGCTGCTGCTCTGCTCGCACACTCTCACACTCACACTCACACAACTAACACAAGCGCGCGCATACATTCACGCGAAAAACACACTACCGCCGCCGCTCGCTACTACTTGTGCTTCTGCCTTCTACCGTTGCCGCCGCCGCTGGTGGCAGTAGTAGTTGTAGTAGTAGTAGTACTAGTAGTACTAGTAGTCTGAGTAGTAATAGTAGTAGTAGTAATGTTGTTGGTGGTGGTGGTGGTGGTGGTGTTGACGGTGGCGGCGGCGCGTGCGCTCTCTCTTTTACTCTAGTCTAGCACCGCACACTCTCTCGCTCGTTCACACACGGTTTGTGGCCACACTCCGACACTCGCACACCTTCGATACAACTAAACCGCGAACATGACACCCGTCACGATCCTCTAAACACATACATAATATACACACTCGTCGGTGTGTCGTGGACGCCGAAGCGCTCAGTGCCGACGATATCATTTTTGCGCGCGCTCTTCGGGAGTAAATGTTTGTTCCCAGAGGGGGCGGTGGTGGGGGATCTGGCGTGGAATCACACAGTTACGACTTTCAAAAAATTGTCAAAAATGAATTGCTTGTATCGCAAAATATTGCACAAGTCCAAGTCGCAAGAGTACTCGACTGTTATAGTTATCACTTATCACCGCTCACCGGCGTCGGTTTGAGTTTTGAAAAAATATTATAATTTTAATAATTACAGGCTGCACAAAGTGAAGCGTGTGGCAGATAGCAAGTGAAGAAAAAGATTCTGAACGTAGCCGGTCAGCTGGAGGGTCGAGGGCGTCTACTGTCTATAGGGCCCCGCAAGCGAGCACAGCAGCTAGACGCATCGTACCGACGGCACTACGTCTGACTCCGGTGTGGAGAGCGAGGGGCACGTTTTGCCGCTACTGCGTGTGAACAATTGCAATAAGGTGGCTTTCGGGGGATTCGGTGGCGCAATATAGAAACACGTTCGACGGGCACTCAGGCCCGCTGTTTATGTAATTGCCTGGTTGTATTGGTTTAGGCCCACCGCCTATATTCACCCCAAAACTCGCTAGTGGCGAACGCCACCCTTCCAATTTTCATAGAGTAACAGTAACTCGATGCACCCTTTGCACCACCACCGGTTGGTCGATAACGCTCGATCGCCATCTACACGTGGCACCAGACACCGCCGTCGCAACGTCTATTTTTAGATGCGCCCACTAATAATGGAATCTTTGCTTCTATAATAATAATAGTATATTTTGTATATTATATTTAACTCGCCATATAATATACACTGCTAAATACCAGACTAGTGTACCTACATATTATTTTTTTTAATAATAATTGTGGTGCGTTTAATTTTTGGTGGTTGAAAAATTCAAATATCCCTGCAGGTGGCTGGTGACAAGTGTTAATGCCGTTTTGGGAGCTGCAAACAGTGGAAAAGATTAAAAACTATCTTGCTAAAAATGGTATGGATCCTATTTAGTTCCATATGCAACCCGCAGCTTGACGGAATATTGTACATTAAGTATTTACATTTGCGTATTTAATATAGAATTATTTATTAGTAAACCCATAATATTGTATGATTTATTTATTGGTACTCGTAGACTGTATTGTCTGTAGTAATGTAGTATAGTTTTTGAAATATTATGTTATGAATAGGCTTGCACAGACATTGTCTGGCCGCAGGGTATGTGGCTGATGAAACATGGCATCCCCCAATGATATATCCCTATTATTTTCTTATTGGAACTGCGCCATCGCCGAAAATTTTACTTATATTGATACTTAATATGTTGAGTGGCTGCAGCAAAAAATTGCATGTCTTGTTTATAGCGTTTTAATATAATATTCATTTTAAATGTATATTTATTGAATACGGTATACGTTATTGTACATTTGTACCTCCATGTATGCAGTGGCTTATATAATATGGACAATGTGGCATGTATAGAAACATCGACAATTTAAAATCCAAAACACCATTCGAAAAAACAATGCATAAATTTTACTATTCAGGGGTGGATCCAGAAATTTATCAAGGGTGGGCCGCTGGGTAATTAAAATGTATCCAACAGGTACTATTCATACTTAATAACATACTTTTTAATATCACCATTATTTTGGGTAGCGGGTACATTAATATCGTTATAAAGATACTTTATATACGTAACGCTGAATATAACTAGTATTTCTCACTAGTCACGATGTAATAAATTTGAATATAATAAGCTCAAGGGGGTATTTTGGTATTTACTTACCTTTCTTTTTATTTAAAGTTACTTTAATACCTAGTAAGATATTTTCGAGATTTTGATGAATTTGGTTAACATTTGAACTTTAAATGCATATAAAAAATAATTGTGCTTATGTATCTTAAATATTTTTGATCAGCTATTAAAGCATATTATGAGGACCCTTGAGTTACATTTTTAAGCTTTTTTACTAAGTAAAAAAGTTTTTATCCCCAATAAATGAACAAAAATGTACAAAATTCGAAAAATGTCACAAGACTATTTAAAAATTCAAAATAGCTTAAAACAATTCAAGTGCCTACGATATTTAGTTTTTGAGTTACACCAAAAAAATTTAATCAATTTTTTCAATAATCGGTACTATGAGTATTAAATTAATTAAAATAGCACGGCGAATGAATTGATTTTGAACGATTATTTATAAAATAACAAGAGGAGAGGTACCTATATGCACTTGATACTTTGAATAAAGTAGCGACTAGTGCCATCATATAAGTACCTACTATATAACATGATAATATAATAAAATATAATTCAACATTTTAACAAGGAGTATTTATAATTTAGAATTTTCTATAAATAAACAAAGTATATAGACTTAACTGGATGAAAGATATTATATCAAAGTATTAGTAGGTACAGAGGATTATTGACCGTTAAGTTCAAATGTTAAGATTAAAGAATATTAATGAATGGCAAATGATTCGTGGCGGTGGCCGGTGGGGTGATAAATTGTATACGACCTACGGTACTTCAGCGGAGCATAATTATAATATATTATATATTGTATAACACAAGTCTATAATATATGTGCCGGAGCTATCAATTATGTTCGTTGTATAGTTTCACTTCAAAATACACGACACAATAATGTATGAAGGTTCTATATAATGTCTTATAAATAGTTACCTATGTATATGAGGGTGGTTCTTATTTTTAAGAATTTTTTTTTTTGATTATTTATGATCGATACCTCCAAAAAGGTTCCAATGTGTATACAAATTATGTATACAAAATTTGAACATAATCGGGATATTAAAGGGAAACACTCTATTTTACATAAAATGCTATAATTAGATTTAGGTACTTTAAAAAAAAATTTTAATGTCGTTTATTTTTTGAATTAACGATTCATACAGATTTAGTTACGTATATTTTATTAAATAGGTATTCATATATCATGCATACCTGAATGTATATATGGGCCGTAGGGCATACCCATTACCCAGTACTTGAAACGGGAAGGGGGGAGGTACGCAAAAAAATATTAATAGGAAGTTAGGAACATCAATTATATTTCCAGACTCTGGGATATAATTACTACACTGCACAAAATATTAAGTATATAATAATTAAAATGTTGTGAACTTGAAAGGCTCATCAGTCTAATAATTTTTATCAATTTATTTTTATTTAAGGCTGTTGAAAGCTAACCATTTTTAAGGGATTGGATTTGGGCGATATTCTATATCCATCGTGAATGCTGTTTGACTGTGAGGATGCTTTATGTAGTTAAAGATAAATTATGGCTGAGAATTTTGGAGATCCGTAACGAACATATTTTAGTCACACTCCACCATATTTTGTGATAAAAAAAGTTTAACTCAAATGTGGTCATGAAAGTCCCAAAAAGCGGAAGAAAAATTCACCCAGTACCAAAAGCCCGTTTTTAATTTTAAAAACATATTTGAAGTTTTTATTCTCATGTCAAGGTTACGTAAGAAGTGGATTTGTTGTGTTTTTAATTAGTTTGACAGTACCAAAAGAAATTTTTTTTTTTCAAAAATCACTTTAACTTCAGTGTTACTAAAATAATAATAATAATTTCCTACAAACAAGAAGTGAACAAATTCAAATATTTTTTCAAAATTAAAATTGAACTCGTGAAAGTATTTTTTTTTTCTTTCGGTTATTAGTCTAAATGCACAAAAAAACGACCCGCTTTCAACAAAAATATGCTTATTAGTAGGTAGTTAGTAGTTACTGAAAAGTACAAAATGATGCATTTTCGAAAATAAATGATTATTTTAACGGAGAAGTTATTTTGATTAAGCTTCAATGCTTTAACGTACCAGAGTACCATTTGAAGAATTAGTTAAAGGGAACGTCAATCATAGGTAGGGGGACTGAGTCGCCCTTCGTCCTCCCCACTTTAACCCCTGTACCAATAAGTAAGGACGTAATAAAATAGCCGGTGGACATAATTTTTACTTAAAATATTTTTTTTACAGTAATAGTATGTAAATCATTACTTGCTCAAGTCTACGTCGTATTCTATAAGAAAATTTTTTTTTTTTGATTTTCCTCTCGAATTCTTGACGATTTCTATTTGCGCATAACAAAGTCTTTCGCGTGTACCTTGCGGCTTGCGTCCTTGCGGCGGATCATTATCACGATGAAGATTTTAATCAAATAAAAAAACGTTTAATTATAGATGTGATGGTTGTGACTTGCGTCGGTGCCGGCAGTGAATAGGTATAAATGTATAATAGTATATTCTATAATATTTCTATTGCATCGCCATGCGCTGCCGCAAAATAAATAAGTGCGCGCGCGTAAAAACAAATTTAGTTGCAGTGTCGTACAATCCATGTTTGGAAATTTCAGCGCTCATCGTTCGCACGCACTGTACGGCCATGATTTATAAGGTGATAACAAATTGATAATATTGTGTTCGAATTCCGGCAACAAACTAATAATTATCGACATGTGTTAAAGTTAATGTTAAATAGTTAAAATTAAAAAACATTCGAAAGTCAGCATCATGGAAGACTGTGTTGGATTTAAGGGTATGTTAATAATGCTACAATAAGTGTATAATTTGTTTGATGTACATTTTACTATTGTTACAGTTTACTTTATTTCTATACTAGTAATCCTAATGGTATAATATAACAAAAGCTATGCATAAATTATAATTCAAATAATAATAATTAATAATGTTATTAATATTAACTATATCATTTATATTATTTGAATAAAATTAGTTTTAAGAATTTTAAAACACAACTTTTATTATTTGTACTATGTTCTTTTCTTGAATTTTTGCAGTTCTCCCGGTGAAAGTCAATGAAAATTCCAAAGTTATTCGTCAGTTATTTTTAAAAATGCATATGACTAGGGAAAAATGTGCACAAAAACCAGAATATCAGACACTGTTTGTGGTCGGTGTTCCTGAATTTTGCAATCAGGTGATTATTCATACAATATTCATTTAATTTTTACATTTCGGTGAATACATTTTTAGCTATTCGATAGCCAATGAACCATATACATTCACAAAATTAGGCATTAATAACTAATAATTAATAATTAAGTATAATGTTTTTGATAGCCAATTACAATTTTTATACAATTTGATTAGTTTATTATGCTTTAATATTAAATGTATACTTGAATCATAATGAAATTCTATTTTATTAATTTAAAAACAACCATCCAACTTTATATTCTAACTGTATGATTTTAGAAAACTATGAAACATGCATTTCGTCGCTGTGGTAAAGTAAAATCTGTATATTTTCACAATGAACCCACTCCAATTGAACCAGAAGTATTGCCATCAAAATATTTCATCCCAAAACCAATTAAAGTATGAGAGTTCATATTGTATGTATAAATTATGTATTAATAGTGATTATGATTTCAGGGCTTTAAAGTGGCTTATGTCGTGTTTGCACACACATCTGGATTGGAAAATGCATTGTCGCTGAAATGTACTGAAAGTGAGCCTTTCATATTGTCTACACAAACTGCTCCAATCACAAATATAGTTAACCGTAAGAAAGCAGCTATAAATTGTAACATTTTAAAATTTAGTTGATCAATTGTTTTTTTATTCTTAGGATGGTGTGAGAACTACAATGACAATATTGTTGATGGAAAAGAATTACAATCTGAGATTGATACTTACATGTCTGAATATGACAAAACATCAGCAGCTCGAATACAAACAGAAAAAGATACAGTCGACAATGAAGACGAAGATGGGTGGAAAACTGTTTCTAAAAAGTATTTATTTATATTTGTGATCCTTAGACATATTATTATTGTAATTTTGTTAACAAATGGAAAATTGCAGAATGTAAATTCAAATACAATAGTTTAGAAAAATGCATTTACATTTTTCTTGATACATTTTTGTTACCAGCTATATTCATTAATTGTGTGTTATACTTAATACATTTTCATCCAAATTTTTAGAGGGCGGAATCCTGGATTTGCACGCAAGGAAGTTATTAAGAATAACATAATGAAAAATGAGGCTAAGAAAAAGATAAAGAAAACACTGAAAAACTTTTATCGATTCCAAATTAAAGAGACTAAAATTAATCGTAAGTATTTATAATTTTATATAATTTTTAATAAAAATAATATGTTAACAATAAAATATTATTATTTTAGAATTGATGGAGTTACGCAATAAGTTTGATAATGACAAATCAAAAATTGAATTACTTAAACAGAGCAGAAAATTTAAACCTTTTTAAGATTTTAAATAAATTGAACGTATTTTGTCGGACAACATTTTTTATGTTTTATTGTAATCTTATTGCACAATTATAATTGTTAATAAAATTGTATTTTTTTGTTATTTCCAAACGTGGGAAATTAGTTACAATTGTGCACAGGTTTTATAGAGTACATAGTTTATTTTATATGAAATGTATCTTTATTATGAAGCACAAACTGGTTCATCCCAATGAGGAATGGAGTATGACTTATGTTAACAAATTTAATTTGTTATGTCTACAGTGCAGGTCATCAATGCAGCCTGAATATCTTTATTGATTTTTTCTATCATATTTATTGCACCAAGAGCACACAATGCCAGTTATAAATTAAACATAAGTGTCACAGTCTGTTTATCATGAGCCATGTGTGTTAAATAAAGGGTAAAAGCTAGAAGCTGCACAGAATAAAAATTATTAATACTGCCCAATATTCTTTCTATTATCACTGTAGTCTATTTTATTAGTGCTAAGTTGAATGAATGTTAGGTTCACTAAGCATTTATTGAATCAATAGTGAACTTGGTTCCCTAAACATGATTTGGTGGACCATGATTGGTCCATTGCATTAATTAATTTTTTATGTAACATGGTATAAATAATATATAAAATGAAAAAATGTTAAAAAATATTGCCTACCTTTAATAAAATTATTATGTTTATACAATATAAATGTAAATCATTTTTATTCATTTAAGAATAATGATTTTTGGAATGAAGGAAATTCAAAATAAAAATAATTTTTACTCTGAAAATTTAACATTTTAATCTATAACTTACAACCGTGCATGTACTATAAATTGTTTTATTTAAAAAAGATGGAGACATGACATTTTTAATATTTGAAAACACAACTCTATAATAATTAAATTATTTTAGCCAAGGTTGGCTTAAGACATGCGGCCATATAAGGCAGCACATTTTTTATACATAGCAAAGTATTATTTAATATTTATTTTGTTCTTAAATTATTTGTATATAATATAATATAGCAAAGTAATATTTATTTTTTGGGGGGGATAAGAGCCACAAATTTTTATTTGGCATAGCTGCATAGGGGCGGAAAATTGTTAAATCCGTCCATGACTAGCCCCTCCTAAAAATTTGCTCTTTAGCGCCAATGTTGATTGTTGCTACAAAAAACTTAATATTATAAATTATAATCTTAATACCACAGAATAGTATAATATAAGAGATTAAGAGGTGTCCAAGGTGTGTCGATTACTATTCCGCAAATATGGCTAGAAGATTTTCGGAAAATACCTTAAACATTTAACATGTTTATGGATACTAAAAGTACCTCATAATTTAGCGGACCGCTACAAAAAATTATACTCAAAGTTAATTTAAATAGGCATTGGTCAAAATCTGAGTATCACTCTTAATATTAAGTCTATATTATAATATATATATATACATTGCATTTGTATACACATAGAATCTGTCACAGATATAAGTACTATACGTCTATACAATTTTGAGTATTATAAATTATAATATAGTAATTAGTATTCAATGGTATGTATTATTATAAGTCAGTGCTAGCATATTAATAGGTAAATTATAGCTTCGAACTAAGATAGTAAGATACATCTTACATCTATTAACTGTAATTAATCTAATATATTGCACGAATTGATATTTTAATAATAATTAACAATAACATCATAGTCCGAGATATAGATACACAATGTACCTAAAATTTAATTTATTACAAATTATATTATTTTTTATTGATTCTATATTTCCATATACCTATAATTGGGCACAACTACCTAGTTAGGTCACGATATTATAAGTTCTTTATGATCGTGGGTTAGGTTATGATAACTTATCAATGCTTAGTGCTACGTCAAGTATACAACCTAAAATATTTATATAATGCTATAGGGGGACGGGCAGTTTTGGCATAGTTATAATCTTTAATATTTTTAGGCAGTAGGCGCAAAATATATCAAATTAGATGACATCAGACTCTTAAATTTTGTATTATAATTTGTAATTTGAAAAATATAATTTTTTTTATCAATATTTCACAACGTTATCATTGCCATATAAATGTTTGATAGTGATAGCGTATCGATTGTCGGCCGAAGAATGGTGTTTTCTATTTTTCAGTAAACACTAAACTAGTTATTGCCTTAGCCCTTTGGATAATAATATTTAACATTTGAATATTATTAATTGTTTGTTAAAATTCTATTAAAATTTTATTATGAAATAGTGTTTGTAATTTGTATATTTTATGGATTTAAAGACAATTCGATCACACACCTATTGATTACTGAAAATGAAGATGGCTGAATCAGTAAAGAAATTATTAAAACGAAATAAACCAGGAACAAAAGCCAATGTAAGTTGTGTTATTCTTTAAATTTGTGTAACTTATATTTGAATATTGTTTTTAGTTCTTCCGTAAATGGCCTGACGAACCATTTGAGGAGATGGAAAGTACATTAGCTGTTCAAGAGTTTATTCAGCAACAAATACGTGTAGATCCGAGTAATATTGATATCATATTGACTCCACCAGATTCTCAAGAAGAAGGAGTTTGGAAATACGAACACCTAAGGTGACAAATAATTTATTCTGTCTTAACGAATATTTCTAATGCTAGTTGATTGAATTTGCAGGCAGTTTTGTATGGAATTAAATGGGCTAGCGGTTGAATTGCAAGCTGAATGTTTGCCCGATACATGTAGCCAAATGACATCAACTGAACAATGGATATTTTTATGTGCTGCACATAAAACTCCTAAAGAATGTCCTGCTATTGATTACACACGCCATACTTTAGATGGAGCGGCTTGTTTACTAAACAGCAACAAATATTTTCCAAGCAGGTATAATTTATGCATATATTATGATGCATTTTATAGATAAGCAGTTTTGTAAATTTATCTGTTAACCAAAATACTAATCATACTCTAGTATCACCTATTAATAGAACCATATGATAAGCTAATGATATCCAATTTTATTAATTTAATTTTCAATCCATACTTTGTTTTTTTATAATATTATATAATATTGATAGTATTTATTCCTAAAATATTATTTTGTTATTGCGTTTTCTAAATTCAATTTTACATTATGTTACACCAACATTAAAAACAGTAACTAGACTTTTAGCTTGTTTAAATATACAGTAAAACTTTTGTAAGACAAAACCCCAGTAACACGGACAATTTGTTTAGTCCTGATTTAAATACATTTTGAATTTGAGCTCTGTCAATTCAAAAACTCCATTGAGACAGAAAAATTTGATTGCCGTAAGTGATTCTGACTTAGTGAGGTCTCACTGTATACATAAATAAATAACTTAAATGCTTGTAGGCACCTATATAATTGTTGTTTAAGTTAATATGGCACATCTGACAACTGTATTTAAGGAGGAATACTATTTACTCAACTATAGATCACGGAGCTTTGTTTCCTTCCCATTATGGACCAGGTCTTATTAAAAAGAACATTATGTTAAACTTTTTAGTTTCTATTATTTTAAATGATTGTTAAGAGGATATCAGTGCACTGTTTATTTTCTTTCTCTAGTCCACTCACAACATAAACAAAACATACTTATATTTATGCAGACATTTTATTTTTTGGGAATATTAGAGTAAAATTGATACTGAAAAATATTTTTGAGGGTATGACAAAGATTTATCTAAATATTGTATCAAACAATTAAAACATAATTGAAGTGAACAAAATTTTTTTTTGTAAGTTGAATACCAAGTAAAATAATAATTAAATATAAATTAGGGTACCCTTAATATATTATCCTCTATAATTTTTGTAATAGGTGATTTTACTCTAAGATAACTTAAAAATCAATAAAAAATGACTTTGGGTGAAAATGTTTTATCTATGTTGCACATGAGTCTGAGAGAGAAAAGTAATGTAATAATGTTGAATATGTATTCCTAGAATAATTAATCTGCTAGTTAAGTTCAATTAATTTTTCATTATTATGCATTTAAAAGAAAATGTTTGTTTTTTACTCTGCGCCATCTCAGTTCTTCTAGAACATACTACAGTTGTTAGTTGCAAAATAATAAAATAATATGTATGAATTAACAATTACTAGGCCTAATTCTTTCCTGATCATGTTAAATAAATGTAAAATATAAATATATAAATATTATATTAAATTATAATTCCGAGGAAATTAAATAATAAAAACACAATTAGATATTATACACTTAAGTTTTATTATCAAGCATCAGCTTACATTAAAATATTTTTACTTAAAAATTTAATAAAATAAATTGTACTACATGTAAGTCATAAATATTTGTACTTAGGTATACTGTATGTTATAATATAAATGAAAACTACCAATGGTTGGTAGTAAAGTAACTATAATAATATACATCTTTATTTTTATTTTTATGTTTAAAACTAAAAATAAATATTAATCAAATAATAAAATATATTTATCTTAAACAATTTTAAAAGTATTATTATCTATTCTAGGGTTAATATTAAGGAATCATCAGTGGCGAAATTGGGGTCTGTATGTCGGCGAGTGTATAGGATATTTTCCCATGCATACTACCATCATCAAAACATTTATAATAAATTTGAGGTAAAGTATTCAAAATATAAAACTATTATGTCCTTATAAGTACAGTTACAGATACATTAGGTATCAATAATTATATGACAGCTTTTAAATGTGTAAAATACTACAATATTACAGAATGAAACATACCTATGCCAGAGGTTTACAAAGTTTGTGATTAAATACAGCTTAATGGCAAAAGAAAACCTGATTGTGCCTATGCCTGATGCAATTATGCAAGGTATACGAACCGAAGAAGATGGAACAACATCAATTAAAGAGCCATAACTTAACTCTCCTTAGTACCGCGGTAATCGTTTTTTTCAAATGTTTTGCGAGTCACTGGCCTATTAACATGATCCGATACCTTGTCAGCTCCCTGGTATCTAAAATTAAAATACTCTAATTAATTAATTTTAAGCATATAGTAAATTATACATTTATACATTTAACTAGGTAACATTATAAAATATATTTTTTTTTTATTTTAAGTCAGTTAGACAATATTAACCGATGATTATCTATTATATTAGATTATTATAGGCTTACCCAGGTAAACTAGGATGAAGGTGATTTTTGGATAAAAGAATATGAATTGAAGGTAATCTTCTTGTTGTAATCGTTTGAGATACTTTACCATCAATCATCTCATCCTTGATCATCCTTACACTATAATTAAAAATATTACTATTTATTAAACATCTCCCAAAATTAGTTACAATTTAACTATATAATATTAAAATATATTTATAAGCTTAAAATAAAAGTATAAACGTTAAGTGCATTAAGCAATTAGTAGTATTAAAATTTATAGTATTTGTTTTGTAATGGTGCCATAAACCACAATTTACAGTGAAAATTCAATTTATAATCATATCTATTAAACAATCACATTACTATGATTTTTATTTGTATACATAGGAAACTATACTTATAAGTTATAACAATAAATATAATTATTTATCTTGTACGGTTTGAAGTTGTTTATCTAAAATATTTGACTTAAGTTATTACTTACTTTCTATATCCAATACCAGTGACTTGCTTAAGTTCAGGCATCTGTCGTTTCAATATTTCTGCACATGTTACAGCTTTGTTAACTGATGGACCACTAGCACTACATACTAGATGATTAGAGTTTTCAAAACTTTTTACTGCAAAACCAAGCATGTTTCGGATTTTGGAATGGTTATTAACTTTTAAATGTTCGAAATTGTCTGGTAAATTGTCAATTGTAATCAAGGAACGTGTCCAACGTTCTTCCTGGTATACACATTTAGGTTTCAAAGTTTCCACTGTAAAATACAAGTTCCAATTAATTCATTAATATTTCAAAAATATCTTTGTTTTAATAGAAGTAAAAATATTCAACTACATAATAATAATAAAAACTATAAAGTTGAACAGTTTTGTAAATTGAATGAGTTGCGTTACAATTCTGAGGATATTTTTGATTTATGGTAAATATGGAGCATTGTGACAGCATAAATCAAAATTCATAGGTAATTTACTCGAGATTTTGCAATTTTTTTTTGAAACTAGTAACCTTGCTAAAGGGTTCCTAGCAAATTAAAGGTTATTTTTTTCAAACGATATAATTAATAACATTTAAAACACATGAATTGTATGGAAATTAAACATAAGTAAATTAAATCTTTTTAGCATTCATAAATATCATACTACAATTTTTATTTACTTTAAAGTCTTGTATTAATATTTAAAATGTTATTTGGTTGGCAAAATATTGAATTCTCAATGAGGCAAAATCTTTTAGTCCAGACCGCTGTTGTGTTTTCTATTTTAACTGCAGGGTAAATTATATAAGTGGTGCCATTTGAGTTTTTTAATAGCAGTGTCAACATTTAAGTAGGCCATTTTTTTATTACAGTAAATAAATGAGTCAAGTATTAGGCATTAGCCTAATGAGGTTGAAGGGAATAATTAATATTTAAATGAACTAAAATTATTAGTTAATACATTTTATCACCTTTTGACATACAGACATAATATATTAGGTAAATTTAACACTATTCTATGTACAATTCATACATAAAAGTACATAACATTGCGCTTAATAGTTAATACCTTAATTTTTCTCTGAAAAGTAATACCTATTATTATGGTGCATTGAAAATCAATAGTATTCAAGGTAAAATTGAGGTAAAATATCTTAGATATAATTCTATTCTAATTTATACTTTCAAATTTTCATTTATTTTGTTAACGTTTTCTTTTTCTTGAGTTATTATGACTTTTAACCACTCAATTATTCATCTTTCATTATAATATGCAGCACTAACTGGTAAAATGTGAATAATTTGATGTATCTTGAATGTTGCTGAAGGCTGTTTTGGAAGTTATTAGAGTGTATCAATAATTTGAATTAAAATCCGTTTAGAAAATATTTATATGTTGAAGTAAATAAAAAATAAATTTTTAACACATTCATTTTAAAATATTAGTAGTGATTTAAAAATTGTTTAAGCTTAAGTATTAACATTTTGCATTGAAGAAATTAAGATTGTTATAATCAATTACCTGGAAAATATTTGTCATATTATAGGTAGATACTACATATTATATTGTACGCATTGTAGTTTACACAATATATTGTATTGTTTACATATAGGTGTCTCACATTTATCTCATAGATTAGTAAATTTAATGAAAAGCTAATAAAGCGTAAAAATAGGTGGTGCACTGGTGAAATTGTACACCCGGCTATCCCCTCCCAAATGACACCTGAGTTAAATTGGTCTACTGCTATTAATATATATGTTTAGTTGGAATGCTAGTTTGATATGGAAAACAATTTTGTGTTAACAAATAAATGTTTCATTTCATTTTTAGCATTTGAAAGTACCTATACCTTACTTGACTTATTAGAGAAATTAAATTTAGTATAGGTACAAGACCAATAATAACATTAATTTGTTTTTAATAAATAAAAATAATAAATGTTCATACAATTGATACCCATGGACCACTATTTATAGGCAATAATTGGAAGAAACAAAAACTTTTTTTATGATATTAGATAGGCATATGGCTACAATATATATTACTTAACAGTTCGAGTATAACTATTGGCAATGGTTTTTTAAAATTGATCAATAACTCACAGGAGTGAATAGGAAAAGATCAGTTTTGACTTTTGAGAGAAATTCACTCCTTTTTACAATCAATTATAGCCTATAGGACACAGAACAAGCCATTGTGTATGTAAAAATTATACAAATATATTAAATGACATTTTGAAATATCTTTTATAGTGCAAAGTTAGCTACAATTTTATAAATTATGAACTAAATTTAATCACATTTTAATCATACAAATTTATATATAATATTTAAAGAAGTAGTAGTCTTGAAATACCATTGCTTTTGTTGATCAACTGTAAAATAAAAAATGTAGAATTGACTAAATAATATGTACTAAACTTTTAATTTAGACATTCCTCGAACTTCTAAAGAAATTATCAATAGTTTCCACATCACACATAAGTATGTATAACATATATTTCTTGAAGGAAATATAAATCGAGCATGTAGAACATTTAATATCTATTGTTATCTAATAAATCACTCGCAGGTATACCTAACATAACGAAAACGTCGACGGATTTTGTACAGAATTTGCTCTCAAGCTATAGATGTGCAACGATAATACAGATGAGCGCGCAGGCGACACAAATCTCACAAGCATGTGAACGAGAATCAATAGTTTAGGGCCCCCCGTCACTCGTCCAGGTTTATTATGGCCACGGGACTTTTATGAGATAAAATGAAGAGCATTCCAGAGCAATCGTCGCATAGTCAACATTCCATCCACAACCGACTACTAATAAAATATACCGATTATAATTTTCAAGTCTAACTTCAAACTTCTCGAAAACTACAGTTAGACAGGGAGGTTAAAAAAATGAATTCTTACATCATTGTTTCGTAGCGATATAGACTATTACAATAAATTTATACGGCTCTTTACATACATTATGGTACTGAATCATATAGTATTATTCTAATAGATAACAATATAACTTTTTCAATGATTTTTTGTATGTGTTTTCTCATTTTCCTTTAACAATCAGTGGTGTAAACACTACAAGCGTCATATTAGAAAATGTTGATGGAAATTCCTTCACGATTTTCCCAATGAACCTTGACCTATTATATTACTATACATATATATATAAACACTCATACCAAATTAATCGTGATGGATCTCCCAGTTGGTGGCATTATTTAGGACTATATAGATATATTAGCTGAAGTGATGTGACGAAAAGATCGGGGATAATGCAATATACTATGAATAACTTCAATGAACAATAACAATTAAAAATTCTTTGTGTAATATAAATATAAGATAATATTTAATTCAAATTAGTGATGTACATAAAATGTAAAAAAATCAATTGTTATAGGTTGCATATTTAATAAGTAATACATATTATACGGATTTCCAAACAATATATTTTATAAAAAAAAACTATATATTTTGTTCTACGTATGCATAGATTGGAAAACAGATAGGTAATTGGTAAATTATAGAAAAAATAAACTAGACATTTGAGTGAGTTTCCGAAGGCCTAACAATTTAAATTTAGTTCAGAAAATAAGGGGCCAAATGGACGGGGAGACAGTCTCAAGAAAGAATAGTAACTTCACCATTATTCCAAACAGTCTGGTCATACACAAAATGTTGTTCTGACTTCTGACTGTAGTCTATAATTCATACATAATTTTCTTTAATCTACAAGATTAGAAGCGGCTAGACGCGAGACATATACACAAATAGTTCAAGTTGGTTTTCTTATTTACAAACGAAGATTGAGTGAAAATTACATTAACAGAACCAAAACATACGTTAGGTACACATTTATACCCAACTTTAATCGTGATACCGATCAAATCAATGTTTGTGAATAACTTAGGTATTGAACTTGCAGTGTTGTTTAAACTAATATCCGATTATTTGGGTTCTGGCCGTTCTGGGTATGATTGAATACATTAGTCCAGTAATAGATTCTCTAATATTCTTTATTCTTATCAAAAAGCACATAAATTCACTAACAAGCAACAACGAGTAACTAACTATTCTGCATTTCCTGCCATGTGATACATCCATCATACAGAGCGAGACAGGGCCTTAATTTCCTTAGAACACTCTCACATAATATACACGTACTATATATGTGGTCGGGCGAATGGAAAACGGCTAATACTTAACATAAAAGTGAAGTTTCTCGGGAGTTAATTCGCTGTGAAAACTTGGGCAAGAATTTTCTACAACCCTAGCGACAACAAACTTCGACGGACATGGTGTCCATTGTAAATTTATAATATTGACGGTTATATAATTATATGATATTGTATATGGTTCATGGTTGTTACGGAGACAAGGGATGGTTTTCGTTGCCGCACAAATTACCTAAAATGTAGGTTAGCTGGTAATATTTGGGTATATTATTTAATATTTAGAAATCTATGCACAATTTACAAAACTAAAAACTAAATTATGTACTATACATACATCATTTAGTTTTTATTATATTTTAAAAATGTTTTATTAATATTGTTTAACATTACAGGTACATTTTTTTAGTTTTACTCAACGATGAGCTTGTTTGTAATTGTCTTTGGTAAACGAATAAAGAGAAAACCACAATGTTATTTTAATTAGGAACGTAAGTAGTTGCTTCCATTTCTAAAATATTATTCTTAGTTTTTCTTAAAAATTATTCGAAGTATAGGAATATAAATACATAATAACATGTTACAGATCATAATTGTATTAAAATGTACGTTCATCTTTTTAAATGTAATTTATGAAGTGTTTTAATTAAAATCAGACTACATTATTATAACCATTAACAAGTCATTACTGATACTTTTACCCTATTTTAGCAGTTTGTTATAAATAATTGATTGTGCAATGTATTTCGATATAATGTTATTGTTATTTATACCTACAATTACCAACCGATTAAAACATTGATTAAATAATTATTTTTTAAAATTATTAATGAAACTCTGTTTCAACTCACTTGAGGGAAAGGTTTTGTGTGTTCATTCCCTCACCAACCCTTGGAATTTTTTACCATCTAAGACATGAACATTTTTTTACGTAACATATATGTTAAGGTAAATGTTGACATTCACTGCTGTTTTTGGTGAGTATCAACATTTTGAATGAATATAAAAAATATACTAACAGTCACCGGTAAATATCAACATCCTCAGCGGTTATCGGTGAAATACAACATAAATTTCATGCAGGGTCTTTGAAATGTGTGACAAAAAAAAAAAATAGCGGGGGCGTAAGAACTACCTTTATCCTTGATATTTTGTCATACGAAATTTGCAGGAAAGCGGTATGTATATATTTTTTAATATATTCCCCGCCCCTTTAGAAATTTCTTTAATAATATTAAAATATACACTATAAAGTACATTTAAGTGGGTACGGGATTAAGATATCTAATGGTCCAGAGGCAGATACTTGGTTATGGACCCCCACAATGAACCGTTCTGCTGTATAGAAGTTGTCGAATGTAACTGGTCATAAAGAAAGTTACTGTAATGTTCGAGTTAAATTTGATTTAAATGATAAATCATTACTTACGAAAAACGATTCTGAACGAAGATGATTTGTCAGGCTATATTAGTTATTACTAAGAATATTTTATGATACAGGGGCTTATACTTTTTGTATTGCTATTTAAGTAATTTATTTACCTTTTCAATAATAAGACTATTTTATACATTTTTAACTAGGCACGAAATAATTTGCAAAATTTACAGCAAAATCAAAAAATCGTTTGATGTTATATCGTTATTTAAAGCGTGCATGCATATCTTATATTTTGGCAAAATTTTTAACTTTTAAACTTTAAGCAGGCACTCATAAAAATACTTGTGGGATTACACTCAAATTTGTTTATGTAGTAATTATAAATTGTTAAAAACTGGTTTCTGATTTTTCGAATTTTCTCTTAATTTTTTTTTCTTGATTATTTTGAAGAATAATGTTAGTTTTTAATTTTGATCTTTTAACAGTACCAACCAGATAACATTATCAATCAGAAATCAGCCTCAATTATGAAGATTGTTTTAATAATATCAATTATGTACATACTACACACACACGCAAAATTATGTATAAAAGTATAACATATACATCATTGTAAAATCAAATACATTTAGTTCTTCGCTCAGAATCTATAATACAGTCCTGCTATTTTTCCTATTTTAACATTTTAATACTGGCCGTATTGGCTTGAGTAGTTAAGTACACGTGTACTTATAATTACTCACTGTTCAGAAATAAATCAACATTGATTAATTTATATATATATATATATGAGTGTATAACATTTAATACTTAACTGTTACATTTTTCAATAAATATAGATAATAGTTAAATGGTTTGAAAACAAAAATACTAAGTACCGAGTATTACCAAATATAATGAAACAAAACAACAGAACTAATATTAAAAAAAAATATGCTTAGTGTTATATTTAATTAATTATAACATATTATTATTATTTTCAAAAATATGATACTTTTAATGTTGACATTTGTGTGCATTTATATAAATATTAAAAACATTATAAACATTTATTTTTTCTAAAATGAATATTCAATTGAATAAATAAAAAATATTCTTTAGTTTTAAAATGATTATAAATAGTTAATGTACTAATTAAGTGTTATTAGTTTTTGGAAGACTTTTTAAAAACAAAACGGTTTTTTTCATTTTTCATTTTTCATTAATTTGTCTTAACATTTAATATTTTTACACTATTAAAAATACAATTAACAACTTAATGCAACTTTAATCTGACAACACTATACACCCTTTAAATATGTGGTCTCCCGGGACATGCCCTCCGGCTAACCGATTCAGGGGAGTTCTGGTGATCAGAGGGAATCTTTCATACTAAATACATACTATAGGTAATTTAACTAATGTAGTATATCATTTACACAAAAGGTTTTATTTAAACTAATAAAAATACTGATGTATTACGAATGAAAATACTTTAATAAATAATGATAGAATACAATTATAATTTAAAAAGAAATTGTCTTATAGTTTATGTTAGATGAGTTTTATTAATATTACACATTTTTAAAAACATAATGAAAAGATAAGCAAATGAAAATTGGCATTATTGTATAAAATAACAATAGAATTTGCCATTGAAAAACGGCGTATACTAATACTATTCATATTGGATTTAAACATTGGCCGCTAGTTTCACGCTACAGGCGTCGTTTCGAGAGCCTTCCACAACTGTTCTATACCTCTAGCAGTTTGGACGCGCCGCATTCGAAATATATAGTGAGTACACCCTCTCATAGTCTCATACATATTATGTATTCGTATATAAATATATAATTCAATAAACTATATTATATCATTGTTTCTATATATATTGTTTTCTATATTTTAAGAAAGTTACAAAAAACACAAATTTATCTGTTTTAAAAGTTTTTATCGAAAAAAAAAAATTTTTTGATTTCAAATTTATATCTTATACAATGATAGTTTAAATAATCGATTATGACTTTTTATTCATTTTTGACAACATAATATGCTTATATATATATATAACCCATTATAATATAATATAGTCTGTATGTCAGAACAATAAAACAAAGAAAAAAATGCACTTGTTTACGGAAATAATGCAGCTTTATAAATATTACTTATGCGAAATACTATTAAATTAAAATTCCCCATTTCCATAATAATACTTTAAATATTTATAAAGAATAGTAAAAACTTAGTTTTAAATATAACAAAGATGTAAATAAATCATGTTTTTTTTTGCGAAATGGTATAAATTTTAGAAATGATGAAAGTAATATCTAAAACTTACAGTTTTTCACAAACAATTATAAGAACTTTTAGTAAGAACCATGTAAGGGATAAACGTATTTATTAGATGTGTCCAAAATTATATGTTATAGATTATAGTGATACAAATACATTTAAAAGAAAAATTGACATATTATAGCAACATAGTTCAGTAGTTAGGGAAGTCAGAAATATGGTCTTGCGATGGAGAGGGATGCATCCCCCCACCAATACGTTAACAAAATTCGGTAGTTGGATATGTATAGGTTTATACTGTGCATTCCACTTATTAGTTTATTAGTTGTACTCAATTTAACTTCTAGATTCTATGATCTAATTATCGAAAAAAAATATCTAACATACGAAATAAGAATGATATTGGTTAATTACGTCGTACTGAAAATAACAAATTTAGATCAAATATACAATTTATAAACATTATTATAATAATATATTCATTTTTTTTATAAAATTTGACTTTGGGTAATTCGAAAACATAGATTTTGAGACTTAGGTTATCCTAATCATAACTTAAAAAAGGGGTGGAAGTAGGTGACCACTCTGCAGTATAGTAAGTACCGAGTCATAGGAAAGTCACTACCTATAAGACTATTAAGTATGGGCTAAATTTGAATTTAATGAGACATCATTGCATTTTTTGTGGGCAGAATAGCAACTTGGAAACTTTTTATTTATATTTATGGAAAAAAATTGTTTGATTTCTAAATCAATTGTTCTTTAATTACAACAAAATAAGAAAATCCTAAATCCTAATTTAACCTGTGAATATAATATTTCGTCAAATTTGAAAAACAGACGCATATAATAATATTTTTAGAATTATGCTCAACTTTATTTTAATTCCATTGATTACAACTTATGAGGAACTTGTAATACAATTTTAATTTTTTTATAAGTTTTAGCTGAAAAATAATTTTCCAAATTTTTGGGATTTTGACGAATTTTGTCAAAATTCCAATTTCAAACGTTTATAACATAATTTACTGTGAATAGGTTTTGTTTTATTTTAAATTTTTATATAAACAACGTATTATGAACCATTCAAAATTTCAAATGTTTATAAACAGCTAACAAAATGTTGAAAATTGTATTTTTTTAAAATTATAAATGCGAAGCGTTGACTGCAAGAGTTATTCACCGCGATTGGTATGTTACATACAAATTTTTTCTCATAGCTCAATTATTGTGATGCTGATTATCTTATATCGTTTATTTTCAGATTAATTTTATTTATTACAAGTTTTGTTAAAAATTGGTGCTACTTAAACTTGTCAAATAAAGTAAAGTTAATTAAAATATACTCTCACATTTTCGGAAAAACTTCT